CTTAGAAAACATGGGATTTTGGAGAATAACAACATGCAAATCCTTTTTATTTGCCTGAGAGTGTTTTTAAGTTTGTTCAGCTTAGGCTTTCCAGGCTGGACACTGACTTTTTTGGTAATGACTCCTGAGATTGTCTTGTCGTATTCACTTAACTCCAGGATTAGGGATTTTGAAACGGTCACCAGCTATCCCAATTTTCCTGACAAAATTGTGACTCTTGGCAGCACAGCTGGTAGCAGCAAGGTGAACTTGGGAACTCTGAATTGAAGTTTTACTGCAGCGGATGAGACTGCTGCTGTATTGCAGACTGCAAGGCACTGGAGGTCGCAATGGGTGGGTTCTCTTTGTTTCCCAGCAGAAAGTCCTACAGAACAACCCTGTCCCTTCAAACTGCCCAAGCTGCAGCTTCCTTGCTGATGGTCGTGCCATTGATTTCCCAGCCTCAACACACTAACAAGCGATCCTTGGCCTGCCATGAACACCCTGTCCCAAAGCCCTCAGTCTGCTGCCTGGAGGGACGCAAGAATTTAGCAAGTTATTTCTCTTCTTGTTAAGAATACCCTTGTATAACCCCAGCTGAGGGAAGACTGAACGTGCCAGGCGTGTGCTGCTCCTGACAAATAGCTCGAGGATACTATGTGAGCGTGGTGGCCGTGTCCTGTCACCACTGTGGCTTACAGCAGGGCAGGCGCCTGGGAGCCCGCAGGGCTATTTCAGGCTCAGGCTCTGTTGGGGAGCTGGTTAGATGCCATCCTACAGCAGCCTTTTTCTTCAGCTCTGTTTTCATTGCACAGGGAAGACCTCTGCCCAGGTTGTCTTGGCATCGTCAGGGCAGGGAATAGCATGGATGAGTGCTGATGGATGGATGTTAGGGAGGGACTCGCCATCCCTGCAGCGAGGAACGTGGTGATGGTGCTGTTCAGGTGCACTGTGCAGTGTCAGGGCAGGGAATAGCACGGATGAGTGCTGATGGATGTTAGGGAGGGACTCACCATCCCTGCAGCGAGGAACATGGTGATGGTGCTGTTCAGGTGCACTGTGCAGCCTTCTGGGCCACCCCTTGCTAAAGAATTGAAAATTGCACAGTCCTTCCCCTGGTGTCCCTTAGCAATTAGAGTATATGGATTATGATCATGAGGACTGAGGCCCCTGGTGTTCTTTCTCCTGCATAAACGGTTGAGCAAAAGACAGTCTCTTGCATAAAGTAATTCAGCCTGTGAATGATGGTTCATTAGCAGCCCACAGACTGTCTGCCTGTAGTAGGGGATGTGTGGGCTCTTCCTGCATTCGAGTTAACTCTTTCACCCTCTCCTTCAATTGCCAGGGATTCGGTTTGCGGAGCATGGAGTCATATGTGGCTGTATCACAGTATTACAGCAGTCTTCTCCCTTCGGAGCCTCAGATAATGCAACGACATCCCCAACAAACTGCCAACTTTTAACATAGTGTCTAGTGATGGATGGAGAAGAAAGGAAGCTATTATCAGTCAGGAGATGAGTCAGATATGAAAATAACACCTTTTTCTAGACAATATTATTACACTGAGGAAATGAAAAAGGCTCATTTTCTTTTGCAAAGGAGCAGGCCTTGAGCGTTAGAAATGCGCATTGCAGAACCTGGTGCTGTTTGAGGGAGTAGCTCCTTAGGTGAACGAACCCCATCCCACCTTTTGCATCTGTCCCTGCTGTGCCACGTTTGGGAGCCTGAGTGCTGGGCAGGTTTTGCTGGCTTCCCAGGAAAGGAACATTTAAGGCTCTGTCTGAAAAGGAAGACTGTAGCCCAAGGTATTTTGGTGCTGGTGATAGAGGAGAGGAATGGAAAAATCAGTTCTTGGATTTAAGCTGCATATGGTCTTGCACACTGAGAGAAACCCACACTGATCCTGAAGGAAATCCTGACACTCAGGGCCGTGCTGCTGCCCTTTTAACAAAACCTGCTGTACGTTACTAACCAGGACTTTGGAGGGAAAAATCATCTTGAGTTTTTAGGGGACAATTTCAAAAAGGAGATAAATATCTCAAGGGAGGTAAAACTATTGATCCTACTGACTTTCACTGGTATTTGTTTTCCTAATTCTCTTAAGAGATGTCTGCAAGAAAAGTGCTTTGTTTGTATATGAGCAGAGCTATGCTGTATTGACAGTGGTCCTGCTTTGGATACAGCAACATCCATAAAGCTCTGCTGGGGTGAGCGCAATAATAACAGCCTGGCCAATGCAAGTCCAAATAGAAACCTTACAAGCCATACTAGCCATTTACCTGGATGATCCTATCTTGCAACGGTGAACAAGCCCTGTCCTTTGCATAGCTTTAGGCTTTTGGGCACAGTTGTTCCACAACTGCTTCAGAAATGATCTGGGATTCTGTGTTTCCAGTAAGACTCACAGAGACTGTCCATGAGGCTGGTCTGCTGTTCCCCTCAGACACTTACCTGCCTCCATGGCTCTCCAGAAGGGACACGGGAAGATGTAGCATTTGTGCATCGTTAGCACAAATCCCAGAGCGGGAGGAACATACCAGCCTTTAGCCATGTCCTCTGTGCATCTGTTTGACCACGTTGCCTTTTTGTTCGTAGCCAGACGAGTTGACTAACGCCTTGGAGATCAGTAACATCGTCTTCACAAGCATGTTTGCCCTGGAGATGCTCCTGAAACTCCTTGCCTTTGGCCTCTTCGGCTACATCAAGAACCCGTACAACATCTTTGACGGGATCATAGTTGTCATCAGGTAAATGCCAGTTCTTTCTCCACTGTGGCTTTTCTGCCAAGGGCTCAGATGCATTGGGGAGTGGGATGGGGAACAGGAATGACGTGGCATGTGTTAATCTAGGGCTCGCTGGCTATGATGGGCTATAATTATGCTGGCCTTTTAGATTCCTGTTGTTAGAAGGTCTGTCCAAAGTAAATGGACCTGGCAGATGGAGAACGAAGTCTATTTATGCCACTCATCTGGCACTGTGGTCAGTTTTCCATTGAAGTGCGGAATGGCTGATCCTGGGAAAGGAGTACTGTGAGTGTCCATATCCCAGCAGTGTGCCCTCCCTTTCCTGAATAGCACCTAGCGCAGGCCAGAATAGGGCAAGCAGGAGGGTAAGAGAGGGCACTGTTCTGCTGTCCTCTCCCAGGGGAACGCTATCCCAGCCTAAACTGGGGATGTCACAGCATGTGTGTGAGAAGTTTGTGCAGCACCTCTCTGTGCTGGGATTCTTTTTAGCCATGCAGTTCACGCCTAGATTGGTAATTTGGGGCGGAAACGTCAAGGCAGACACAAAAGGTGTAAGCCAGGATAGTGCTCTTGGCTTCAGTTGGCCCATCTCTTTGATTTAGAGAGGTGAGAAGCAATGGAGGCCTAGAACAAAGGCCAGTCTGTGGCCTGGTCAAACCAATCCACCCCAACAAATGTAAATCCCCCTGGATATTAGCTTGTACAAAATTGTGATGCACAGTTCGTGGCTAGGCTTGTGACTGGTTCACTGATGCAGACTAGCAGGAGATGTGCGGTGTTGTGAAGAGCCACAGAAAGTAAGGGAATTAAAGGATCGGGAAAACAGCTGTAAAGGATGTAGGTTGTGCATGAGCATGCGTGTCTGCATAACTGGGAAGCGAAGGTGTTTTTCAGAAGAAAGTAGCAGGTAAATAAACTACCCCTTCAGGGCTTCAGTGGTGTGATACCCTGTAAGGAACCAGCCTGCTCAGGGCTTTCCCAGTACAGTACTGCTGTTTATAGCTGTTCTCCTTCTGGTGTTCCTGCAGCGTCTGGGAGATCATCGGCCAGTCAGACGGGGGCCTCTCTGTGCTGCGGACTTTTCGGCTGCTCCGGGTGCTGAAGCTGGTGCGGTTCATGCCCGCCCTCCGTCGCCAGCTGGTGGTCCTGATGAAGACAATGGACAATGTAGCCACCTTCTGCATGTTGCTCATGCTCTTCATCTTTATCTTCAGGTACCAGAGGCTGCAGCTCTTCTTTAATTATTCGTTCAGCTTGCTTAAGAATTAAGTAGATTAGAATAAGAATGCACTGTATTTGCTAGGCTGCCTACATGGTAGAAGTTCTTACAGTAGACTGACAAGCAGACACTCAACAGACTATTTACCTCTTTTTGGCCTCAGTTTTTTGTGCAGTACTGTAGTTCTGCACATGAATGAAGTACATAAACAGGCAGCAATCCCTCTAGAGTTCCTGGGACGCTCTTTCAGCTGTGTCTCAGGGAGCTGTCAGTAACTGAACTCTACCAGTGTTATATTTGAGATGGAGGTTGTGCAGACTCTGAAACTTCCGTTTGTTTCACCCTATAATGCTCCTCAGGATCCTGTTCTTGGAAACCAGTTGAATTAGGGAGCTGACATTATGGTTTGTCATTTTCTTGACAGAGGAGATCCTTGATTTGACTTCAGTGTAGACAATTGTAATGAAATGTGGCACACGAGAACCAAATGCAGGGTTTGATCAGTGATCTTGTTAGTGGTGGAGCAGAGCCCTTCTTCCTGCCAGATACCACTGGCACATAAAACCCTGTGGGGGAAAAAGTGTCCGAAAGATCACTGCGATCCTACCTGCAACCGTATTTCAGGGAATAATGTGTTTCTTCCATCTCTCTTTTTTCTCACTCCAGCATTCTCGGCATGCATCTTTTTGGATGCAAGTTCAGCTTGAAAACTGATACGGGAGACACAGTTCCAGATAGAAAGAATTTTGATTCCTTACTTTGGGCCATTGTGACTGTATTTCAGGTAAGCTCTGGGTCCTCTGGGAAGTTTTAATGTAGACCACCTGGACAAATTATTTCACTTTTAAAAACAACAACTATTCCAGTAGGTGTCAAATTTGGACTGAAACAGCACTGTAGAGTTATTAGGGCAAGGTGATGGTGTTTCTGAGTTAGGTGGTCTCTAAAAGCCCTCATAGAGAAGCAATCTACAGGGCATATCTGCTGTCAGTAAAAGTAAAGTCAAAGAAGGCCTGAAAATCCACCCTTATTTTCATTTCATTTAGTCAGTAAGATCAAGACCCACAGCCTGCTGTCCATTCTGCTCCTCTTCCGTAGATCTCTGTCTCCTTACTTGCCTTCACTGCCTCAAAAATGCACTTTGCAAACAATTTAATTTAACTGGGAGCGACAAATACTGTTGCAAATCGGAGCTCAAGCTGCTCACTGTATATGCTGGGAAAGTCTTTATATAAAAAGTCGTGTTTCCTCTGCAGACAAGATCTGTTACGTTCTTGAAATTACTGGCATATTCCACAATGGAGCAATAAGCTGCTATTTCCAGGACATTCTAAATATAAAATTAGTCTTTTCTGTTTAAAAGCTCAGGCCTTAGAGCCCACGTGCAGCAAGCAGAGCACAGTGTGAACAACGTTAAGCTGAGTTTCTAAATGCAGAGTAGGTGTTCACCACAGTATCATTCAAGGTAGAAACCAGTCCAGAGTCTTCGCTGGGAAGAATATAACTTCTTGCAAAGTTTTCCTTCTTACAAAGGAGCAAGGAGAAATCAGCATTAGTCTCACAGGTTCGTATTTTCTTTTACCAACACAAGTGCAGATTTTTGCATTTATTCTAGCAGTCCCATGGGCAAATGAGTTGGCACAGAGCACAAGGGCTCGGCCCTACATCCCGTGAAGGTTAGTGAGTGGCATGACTCAGTGCAGCTGACTGCATTCCTATCCCCAAAGCTACCTTGTTTTTAGAAGGGTCAGAGGCCATTTTCATTGTAAGCATGAATTAATGTGGAGCACGAATAGGTCATTAATTTTTCAAAGGCCTCTGGATTTTTGAGCTCCAGGAAAGCTAGGAGAGTGAGAATCCCTGAGGAAGGTCCCTTGGAGCAAGACTTTACAAAGACTTGTATTTTTTTGCCCAGCTTGTCAGTGTTCTTACCTAACAGAAACCGCTGTGCTTCCCTGAGTTTCTTGAGCCACCCCATGTCATTTATCTCATCAAATCTCATGTCCCCTACCCTTTCCTGCAGCTCCAAATGCCTTATAAAGAGCAGCTCCAAAGGAGACAACAGCTCTGGCCTCAGATCTGTTATCTTCTGATGGTGATCAAAGGAGGCAATACCGCCACCAGACAATGAGACTCCTACCAGCACATCCTTCATGTTATCGTATCTAGGATCTGAACTAGTCATCATTATGGGCAGCAGCGTGCTAGATCCTCCTGCAGAGAGGGGAGGTTTGGCCAGGAGAGAGCTCTCACGCAAAGATCTAAATAAAGGAATGTTTTACTGTCTCATCTTGTGAGACCTGCTAATGATTATGCTCAGAAAAGGTCAAAAGGAGAGGAAGAAATGGATGAGTCAGTATGTGAATGCAGCTGCTGTGCATGAGAGGAGTGGAGTAATTAGAGAGTCTTCCCCTTCACCTCTCTGCAGATCCTCACTCAAGAGGACTGGAACGTGGTCCTGTACAATGGGATGGCATCTACATCCTCATGGGCAGCACTCTACTTTGTGGCCCTGATGACCTTCGGCAACTATGTGCTCTTCAACCTTCTTGTTGCCATTCTGGTAGAAGGATTCCAGGCAGAGGTAAGAGATCTGAGCAGAGGGAGGGAGAAAACTGAGAAGCACGTGTAGGCGAGAGAGTAGGGATGAGTGCATGTCAGTGTAAACATCTAGCCATGCAAGCAGCCTTCAATTTAAACTTAAGGGGTGCAAATGAGCTGTGTCGGGCATGTGAAGCTCTTGTGAATCTGTCTTTGCAAATAAGGCCCATGGGACTTGACATGAGACTTGAGAGACCAAGACTTTGATTGATCTGCTACAGGGACCTAGAGGAAATAATTCATCATAGAATCAGTTACGTTAGAAAAGACCTTTAAGATCTTCGAGTCCAACCATTAACCTCGCATTACCAAGTCCACCACTAAACCATGTCCCTAAGTGCCACATCTACCCATCTTTTAAATACCTCCAGGGATGGTGACTCAACTCCTTCCCTGGGCAGCCTGGTCCAATGCTTGACAACCCTTTTGGTGAAAAATTTTTTCCTAATACCCAATCTAAACCTCCCCTGGCACAACTTGAGGCCATTTCCTCTTGTCCTATCACTTGTTACTTGGGAGAAGAGAGTGATCCCCACCTCACTGCAACTTCCTTTCAGGTGATTGCAGAGAGCGATGAGGTCTCCCCTCAGCCTCCTTTTCTCCAGGCTGAACAACCCCAGTTCCCTCAGACACTCCTCACAAGACTTGTGCTCCAGACCCTTCACCAGCTTTATTGCCCTTCTCTGGACACACTCCAGCACCTCCATGTCTTTCTCGTAGTAGAGGGCCCAAAAACAGAGTATTTGAGGTGTGGCCTCACCAGGGCTGAGTACAGGGGGATAATCACTTTCCTAGTCCTGCTGGCCGCACTATTTCTGGTACAGGGCACGATGCTACTGGCCTTCTTGGCCACCCGGGCACACTGCTGGCTCATATTCAGCTGTCTGTTGACCAATACCCCCAAGTCCTTTTCTGCTGGGCAGCTTTCCAGACAGTCTTCCCAAAGCCAGTAGTGTTGCATGGGGTTGTTGTGACCCAAGTGCAGGACCTGACAGTTAGCCTTACTGAACCTCATACAGTTGGCCTCGGCCCATCAATCCAGCCTGTCCAGATCCCTCTGTAGAGCCTTCCTACCCTCAAGCAGATCTACACTCCCGCCCAACTTGGTGTCATCTGCAAACTTACTGAGGGTGCGCTCAATCCTGTCATCCAAATCATTGATAAAGATATTAAACAGAGCTGGCCCCAGTGCTGAGCCCTGGGGCACACCACTTGTGACTGGCCACCAACTGGATTGAACTCCATTCACCACCACTCTTTGGGTCTGCCCATCCAGCCAGTTTTTTACCCAGGAAAGAGTACACCCATCCAAGCCATGAGCAGCCAGTTTCTCCTGGAGAATGCTGTGGGAAACAGTATCAAAGGCTTTACCATCCATTTAGGATGGATTTAACTCACCTAATCTCCCATGTGTCCTGTGTTTTGTTTCTTTGTGGTGGGCCTCAGGCCTCCAATGTATCTAGGCAATGCTAGTCGTAGGGATCAGGTAGGAGGTGAACTGACTCTCAGTCCAGACTTTTCCTTATGACTCTGTCCCTTTTGTGTTATTTGAGGCTAGTACCACAGCTGTTCAAAAGCTGTTTTGCAAGATTACAAACATTAAGTTTTGAGATACTTAGGATGATGTAGGATATGTAAATGCTAAAGAGATTTTTACTTACACCTGAAAATAATGTCTGTATCAGGTCAACGAGCAGGGAATTTATGATAAACTGCAGGCATCTCATCTCATCTCACGTGGAAAGGATTAGAGAAATGTTTTATTCCTCAGTCAAAAATGATATGCCATGTCCTGATTCGAACTGAGCACGCTATCCTGTGCCACATGATCCAGAGCAGCAGGCCACACTGGTGTGAGTGGTGTAAGTGATATAGTACTGGCGTGAGTGGGGAGCCCCTGCAGCTCCTTAAGTTTTCCTTCCCCCCAGCAAATCCACTCCAGATCTGCTTTCAGCATCCTGAGAGTGAAACCAGCCATCCTCTGCCCTGTCCTGCTCTTCTCCATCTTCCTTTCGGATCACAGCAAGTCCATTTGGGGAGATTTTAAGTGGGAATAACCTGTTTTGGTTGTAAATGTAACAATGTATGTGCACATACATATTATCCAGAAAAAAATTACTTTTTTCCAAAGTCCTAGTGCAAATGGAAATGATTTTGAGACTTACCAAAAATCATCCAGCCCCAGTTAAAGCTAAGAATGGTGGTATTGAAAAGGTTTACGTCACGCTTTGGGATTTTTTAATTATTACTTTTTGATTTCTGCAACCATCAAGAAGGGAAAGTTTGTTTAGTGCTGCTTTGACTTCAGAGACGCACAGACTCAGAAATAAAATGAAAAAATGGCTTCAGTTTTCACCACTTATCTTCCAGGGGAAAGAGGAGAAATAAATTATTTTTATAAGGGGTTTTTTTAATTTTTTTTTTTTTTTCCCCAGAAATGGCATTGTGCTCTCATTTGCCGTGTTTAGATCACACTTAGATGAACATCCACTGACCATGGAATATAATTGAAATATTCATGGACCAAAAATTCCCATCTCTCAAGCCAGCACTGCCACATTTATGTCTTTCAAGGATGTCTGCATAGATTCATTATTAAAACATCCCTCCTAGCCTCCTCGCAGCACTAGCAGAGGAAAATTAATTGAAACAACAGGAGCCAAGTTCCAGTTTGGATAAAACCAACCCTGATGTATGTTGCTCAGGGCTGTTTCATGGATGTTGAGGGTGGCAAGTGCCCCCTCACACAGAGAAGACACAAGTGGTCCAGCTCATCACTTTCAAACTGAATGGCTCTGCATTAGTGGGCATCTTGATGTTTTCTACAATGTGGTCCATGCCCTGAAGATCCAGCACAGCTGACCAAGAAGAGCAAGAGGGTCCTTTTCCAAGAACAAACCTAAATTCCATGTCTCAGTAACTAGAGCTCATGGCTGACACTGTTTATTTCCAGCCTCCTGTAGTTTCCTCAGTGTCACAGATCTCAGTATCTCCTGGCTTTGCTCTGGATACTCTAACACCTTTGCCACATTCCTATTCTAGTGCAACCTGTTGCAGATGGAGTTGGACGTTAGCCACTAACCTAACAAGACCAAGGCAAAGCGATAAGCAGTATTTCTACAGGCTCTGCAGTAGCTGCTGTCTTCCAGCCCAGAAGGGGTTTTCCTTTAGGAAAATTGTAGCTGTATTCGAAGTGGTTGTGCTGGATTCAGTTCTGCTAGCAAACGACACAGGCTGTAGCAGACTAAGGTCTGTGCTGAAGTGATAGATTGTCCTGGACCAAATGCAGAAGCAACCAATACAGTTGGCCATATGGTAGCTCAGAGAGGAGACAAGTCAGTGGCCAGACATGTGTCAGATAGCCTCAGATTCCACCAACCAGCAAATCTGGGTGGAAAAAGAGGACATGCCAGCGAAACCCAAACAGACAGTAACCAGCATGTGTGACCCAAATGACTGGAGACTTCTCCTGCTCAACCAGTCTTGCATTTAGGCACAGAGAGCCCTCATACAGCAGTTTGGGTCCTTTGTTCCTGATTGCTCTAAGGCAGAAGAAAGTTTTCTCCACTCGCCAACCTGGAAGCTTGCAGATACCTTTGTACAGGGCAGATCTCCTTCCTTACCTGCCCTCTTGGAGGCTGAATCACCTGCTAATGTGAAGCCAGAAACGGGCAGCCTCATGCAAGTGCGTGATCACAGACCTGGCCGAATGGCTGTCATTTTCTTGCTCAGGCTTAATGGCTCCCTTGGAGCTGTTACAGACCATGATTTACACGTGCATAAGGAGCAGTTTTCAAAGCTTGTATTATTCACTCAGTGCTGCCTCAGAAGAGGCCAGCAACCACAGGCATGACATTTGCAGGGCACGTTTTGCTCTCCACTTCCATTCATTATAAATCCTGACATTAAGCCTATGGGCTTGTCAGCGGTGTCATGGTGAGGTATGAGCTGTGCTACGGAAAAGCCTTTTCAGGACTGGATTTCAGCTACGAGAGCTCGATTCAAGTCTTGCGCTTACAAATACGTAACTTAGCTCTGGTTGTAAACCAAAGATGTTTACAGTCTCCTTGAACAACTTCCAAGAAGAAATATCAATGGAGCTGGGTTTTCTTTTCTTTTGTCCTCCCTGGTTTGTATGTTGGGAATACGGCAGAAATTCTTGGTTTGACCTCTTTGACTTTGCCCTCTTACAGGGTGATGCTCTTAGCAGTTACAGGGGACAACGAGGCGCGTTTCTCCTCCCTTTGCTCAGGTGTTTTTTCACTTAGAATGGAGAGTGGCTCCTGGGAGACTTGTGCAGCTAAGAGGGTGCCCATTAGAGCTGCTCTAAGCTCTGAACCATCAGCAGCATTTCAGCAAGGACACTACAAATTGTACTGTGAATCACAGTACACAGTCTCAGTTTGATCTCAGGTTCTGATCTGCCTGTGGAGCAAGTTTGACAGGAGTATTCCTAGAAGAGAATAGGCTTAAATGACCACAAAACCATTTTTAGTACATTTGTGCTTAGGACAACAAGCAGCCAGACTTCAAATAGGATCATAATTGCATATTTGTGCTTACATTGTTCCCATGTCATTTGGAAATCTACCCCAGGGCTGCTCTGGAAAAGCACACAAACCTTCCCAAATTATGCAAATCTTTCATCTACTCTGCACTGGCACTTCAGCTCCAAAACAGAGAAGATGAATACGGGAGCTTAAACCTTTCAATCATCCTGTCTGTTTGGCTGCACCACTTAGCAATACATCACAGATGAAATGAAGTTCACTGCCACTCCAGCACCATGTCTCTAGAAACCATGGTGATTTGTTCAGGCATCAGTTAAGGAACTGTGCTCCCTTTTCTGGGATCAGCTGCTTTAATCCAACCATTTGCTATCAATTTGCACAGCTTTTCTGCAGTCTTCATGGATCAAGCCCGAGTCATGCCAATAGCCTGCTGGGGTCTCTCTTCTGTATAGACATCCCCCAGCAGAGCAGAACCTGGCAATAGTTCTTCTGTCCCAAGCTTGTACGTCATTTAGGCTGATCATTTTTGGTAGCAGAGGCAGATATGTATGAAAGGAAAAACTGGACTTCCAGGAGGAAAGCCAGTCTGAGGGTGGTTGGCTATTCTTTGTCCTGAGAGAATGCTGTGCTGCCAGGCAAGCTGGCCTCCTTCCCTTCTGCCTCAGCTTCAACGTTGCCAAGAGATTTCCCAGTACAATCTCGATTACTAGCCAGCATGAAGAAAGCAAATGAGGGCTGGGTTTTCAGATATAAGTCAAATTCACAGTGCTGTCAAATAAGGAAGAAAAACCCTTTGACATCTTTTGACATTAAAACTTAAGTGCTTTCAGCTGGAATCATGGAGAGTGCAAATATGGAACCCCACAATGCCATTTTTTCTAAGTCACTCCTCTGATTACAGCTGCACTTTCGTGTTCTCCCCTGGGATACACTGTTCAGAGCGGCTGGGGGCAGCGTAGGAAACACTATGACATTGCAGGAACAGTAGTCACAATCACAACATCATCCTTTCTGTCCAAGTACAAAAATGAATCAAAACTAGGATGAGGGACTTACGTGGGGTCATTCCCCAGGACAGTGTCAGAGGGTATTTGTCATTCTGCCCTCCTAGTTCTTGGGGCCATGCCTAAACTCACCATGGAGAACTGAGGTATCTCTGAGCTGCTAAGTAATCCAAATGGCCTTTGTGCTAAAGTTTAAATGAATTGGGTCTGTTAATTATCCTTCTCCTCTCTGCAGGGTGATGCCAATAGGTCAGACACAGATGAGGACAAGACATCCGCCAACTTCGATGATGATTTTGAGAAGCTAAAAGACCTCCGAGCAACAGGTGGGATTTTGTCTCTACATGTTCTTGGGAACGAGCGCTACAACTCTGCTTTTACAGTCATCTTTTCATAGGCACTTATTGGGGAAGGTGGAAGAATCCACTTTATTTAGCAATTAATCTCATAGCTATGTTAACAGAGTAGCTATGCAAAAAGTGTTGGGAAAGCTAGACGAGCATTGATTTTTTTTTTTAAACAGATGTTTTTCTAATTTAAACTCTGCTAGAATATTTAGATACGTCTCATCGTTTCTTCTGTATATCATTACCACAGAATGGTTTGCTGACAGCAATATTTTCGCACTGCTTCTCAGCAGCTTTTCAGATCAATCATGTTCTCATCTGTTCTTTTTGGTTTCTCACAAAAATGCGTTTGGGTGAGGTTTGATTGATGGAAATGTTGCTGTTCATTTGTGTTACAGGAGGGCCTGGCAATTGATTTGAGGTAAGGCCACATTGTACTAGTGTACTATAAACGTGGAATAGTAGGTGACAGCCTTCACTCTGTAGAGTTTGCAACCAGATAGGGGACAGGAAAAGATCACATATTTTAACGGAGTGAATAGCATGGTGGTAAATAGGAGCCCGTTTAGTTCCTCTGTGCTTTGATTCTCAGCTTGGGCTCTTGTTAGGATTGCTTTAAATGCTTCTAAACCAGGATTTGTTTCAGCTAAGGAAATGATATTGGTTGTGGTGAGCAGATGGAATTCAGCTGAGGAACGGCCAGAAGTAATTTGTTGGGGAAGCTGAGACAGAGCTGCATCACAGCAAGGTGATGGAGCTGCTCAGTCTTCAGATGAAGCAACAAATTCCAAACAGCAATTGATCAAATGAACGTCCATTGCAAATAGTTGACAAGGAACCCACAGCACCAACTGTGCACCAGCTTTGCACCAGCTATTTGCTGAGCAGCTTCAAATAATAAGAGAGTTCTAGGGGAAAGAAATATTGTCACCTCTTCTCAGGTAATACAGGAATAGAAAACAGGGCTGAACTTGCCGTCAGTCAAAGTCCATGAGTAATTGTGTGTCTCCGTAAGCCTCGGAGGTGCCAAACAGCATAAGGGCGTTAACAATTCCATTACAATGCCGTTGCTCTATAAACAGATACACTGGCAAGAGGAATGTCTATTGCAGATTAGAAAATTTTGAGCTGGATCTTCCACCTCTCAAAGTGAATGGCAGCATTCCCATGGACATCTGTGGTGCAGATCAGGTATTTGTGCACAAGCCAGCGACGAAACAGATGATACAATAGAAGCACACTGCATTACAAAAGCAGCCAGTGGGAGAAAGATAGCAGGGGTAATGCACCCACTTGGATTTCTCACTGCAGACTTGGACTTCTTTCCTGCTGGTCGCAGATGCTCCCATCCTGTTCCCCTCCTTGAGACTGATTCTGCAGTGATTAAACCAGAACCCATTAAGCCCATTAAAACAGGAGCTAGTTCAATTTTAGTGTTTGAAATTAGGCTTTTGGTTTTGAGTATTACTGCACTGCATCAGAAGTGCATAAAAATCTCTGTGCAAGACTGTGTGACAAGGAGAAGAGATTAACTTCCTAGGGTGAACTTAGCCAGTCCTCAATGTCTTTTCCCTGGAAGCTCTCCTAGTCCCCCAAAACTGTAACTCCACTCTCTAAATCCCAAGAAACAGTGAGCAGAAGAAGCTTCCTCTGGAAGGCAATGAGTTCCAAGTCCAGGCAGGGCTGAAGGCCTCTTAAAAGGTTGTGACATTTGCCTTGTGCCTTTCAGTGTGGTGGGGGTGATCTCATTGCCCACAGCGTTTCGTCTCCATTTGGCAGAGTTCCTAGAAGACCCAAGAAGCAATGTCCATTTTGAAGAATGATTCTATAGCTGAACATTCACCTCATATTCCCTCTCTTTCTGTCTAGAGATGAAGATGTACTCACTTGCCGTCACTCCAAACGGACACCTGGAGGGCAGGGGAAGCATGCCACCTCCTATAATCATGCGCACTGCTGCCACACCAATGCCCACACCAAAGTGTTCCCCACACATGGATTCAGTGCACACTTTTGTGGAGTCAAGGAGAGGGAGTAACGCTTCGCTAGACCCCTTGAGCTACGATCAGAAGTCCTTGGTAGGTTCCTGTTGCTAATAACTCTCCCTCAAGTGGCTGCAAGCAGCTCGGATGATATATGTATGTGTACACACACGTGCGTTGCTGGAAAATAAAAAGGATGGTGATAGAGGTGAGAAGCATGTGGAAAGGCAGGAGGGAGAAATGAATAAGTGTAGTATGCTGGGGCAGGACAGTGCCAACATAAGTCAAGAACAGTGAGTATATGAAGAGGGGAGACAGGGATGTACTGGAATTCAGTGTTTTCCTGCCTAGTATCTGGTTGGAAGACCATGCCAAGCCACCTCACTGGAGAGACACAACCTGAGACAAGTCATAAGTTCAAGCAGTTATTCCAGCAAACCCCTCTGAGGAGGAGCAGGCATCTTTCATCAACCACACTGACCAGTTTGTGATGTCTTAGAGAAGCTGTCAAGTGTCCCTGTGAGGATGAGGCCTGTTTCTCCCCAAAGTGTTTTAGGGTTGCATCTTGAATCCACCTTGTAGTTAAGGGATATGACACGTTTGTCCTTTACTAACACAGCAGCTGAGCTCCAGTTACAATACAGCAGCCCTGTTGGAGGGGAAACAGAGGAAACAAGGTTTGAGGTGACTGATTACCACCAGGCACAGCTCATGGAGCAGAGATCTGGCCGGAGCTGGCTGCTTTGGCGACTGATTGCATTTTGCCCGCAACAGGAGAGCGGGAGGGCAGCTCTGTGAAAACAGAGAGAGCAGAGTTAATAGACAAAGTGGATTTCTGCTGCTACTTATCTGTCCCATTCCTCTGCTCTGTAACTGCAATATCATGTTCAAATCAAGGCAGCGGACCGTGAAGGCGCTTCACACAGAGACAGAGCCACTATCCCCTTTGGTAAGCTGCTTAGTCAAGGTAATGCTTTTGAAAAGAAAATAGAGATGACTGTTGTTTGCCTTGGGGTTTCATGGGATTGTGAGTTGCTGGAGAGGGTTGTTCATGGTTTGAATCCTTTCTCTGAGAGCACGTCAGTGCCACCAGCCAAAGGAAGATGAAGCAGTCCGAGGAGATCTGGCCAGCACTGAGAAGGAGGAGGAAGGCAGTTTGCCTCTTTTTGTGCTGGGAGCAAGCCATAGAGGGGAAAAAGAGTTTTCCTTCTAGCTCTTCTTCTCTGACCTTAAGTGCTCTTATCCTGGCAACTACCTGGCAGCCAAAGTGCGCTGATCAGTGCCAGAAATTTGCTGCAAGAGAAACATTCATTCCATTTCCTTATGCAGCAAATTGAGGAGAAAGTAATGCAAATAGGGGCACAATTTCCGACAAACACTTGGGTGACTGAGGTGCCAGCACCCCTTTGGAAGCCAGGGGAGTTGTGGACTGAAACCACTTGAACATAAGGAAAGAAAATGCTGCTTCAGCAATAGTGTCTTTGGGTTCAGTTTTTACACAGTTTATGTCACCAGGACAGTAGGACGTCGTGCAGCACAGAGAATTGGTAGCTGTACTACAGGTGTAGTTCAAAGGAGGACCTTCAGTGTGGGCTTAGCTGGGTACTTGGCTCCCATCTCAAGGCATTGGCATGATGAATTCGGAGCAGTGAGGAAAGCTGGAAGGGGAAGACATGACTTGCAAGAAGCAGGGTCTTCCAATCTGTTCAAAATGCCATATCCTTTGGCTTCCTTCTGCAAACAAACCCTCAAATGTCTTTCTCCTCTCTCAGTCCAGCCTCCGCAGTTCTCCCTGTGCCAACTGGGGCACCAGCAGCAACTGGGGAAGCCGACGCTCGAGCTGGAATAGCCTGGGCAGAGCCCCGAGCCTCAAGAAGAAGAACCAGTCAGGAGAAAGAGAGTCCTTGCTCTCTGGGGAGGGGAAAGGCAGCACCGACGATGACTCCGATGACGCCAAGTCCAGCACAGTCAGCAGGCCCTCGTTGCACCGCCGGGCAGAGTCCTTAGACTACCGCAGCTCCCTGGACTTGCCTGAGCTGCTCCAGTTGCCCACCATGCACCACTCGCTCAGTATCAGCCCCGTGGCCGTTCTGCCTGCTGAGTACCAAGACTGCAATGGCAAGATGGTTCATGTCCCCAGCGAGTTCTTCCTGCGTGTGGATGGCCACAAAGAGGATGCCATGGACTATGAGGATGACATGGAAGATGTGAGTTGAGGGGGAAATTGGATGTTCGTGCATTAAGTGGCTTTTCCACTCCAGGAAGGCTGATTAAAAGTCCAGCTTGGAAGTGTGTTACTGCCTAATGGCTGGTGTAGACAACAGGAATCCTAATCCAAGGGATAGGCCTCCACTTCCTAGAAGGGTTTTGGGTTTTTGAGCTAATGGGTTGGGCTGTTACATTGCAGTGGTCTCTTACAAGGTAAAACTTCAAAGGGATCTGCATGCATTCGCCTAGGGTTTGGACTGGTTGAGATTGTCCCACTGGCCCAGGATGCCTCTAAAAGTGAGCTGTAGGCACAACAGCTGGCTAATGTCTTTGTTCACAAGAGCTGTTTGGCATCTCAAAGGCTTGAAAGCCCAGAAAGAATGTTTTATGCTTAACTTTTTGGTTGTTTGAGGCCTTTTTGGTTTTGACAAAACTTTGGATCTCAGAATGATACCTGCCTACAAGTCTTGCTTTGTCATGTTCATATCTCACTGTACAGCAGCCCCTTTCTTCCACCCCTTTCCTCCCTGTTCCGTTGGACAAATGTGACAATGTCTGCCACAGACATTGGGATCTCTGTCCCAAAAGCCGTGAGTGCCTGCAGGCGTTATGAGTTGCCATGTACTGCCCCCTTTCACAAAAGGACTGTGAAAGTTGAAGAGGCAGGAAAATAAAAGAGGAAGAAAAGGTGTTTCTTCTTTTCTATCCAGAGTTACTGCTACCGGATTCGTAAAGTCCTGGAGCCCTACAAACCACAGTGGTGCAAGAGTCATGAAGACTGGTCCCTCTACTTGTTTTCCCCACAGAATCGGTAAGAAATCCCAGGGAAATGCTAGCCCACCAGATTTTTGTGGTGATGGAATACTACATTTCTAGCCAGCCTTCCCTTGAGAAAAATCCCTCTCTGGTGTAGAAGCACTGAGAGTTTTAGAAATCCAATTCCTGATTTTTAGGTAACTTTTTCTGTTAATGTGGGCAGAATTGCTGCATGGTTCACTCCATGCCTGTCTAGGAAGAAGGGTGGTTTAACCAGCATTAATAATAGGTGTTATTACACCTTGTTTACTGCGTTGATAATGAAGGCTGAAGCTTGTGGAGAGACTAGCTCACCACCTGGGCTGATGCTGGTAGCACAGCTGCTGAAGGCTTTTGAGGATGTGCCATTCGGGTGGGAGTCTCTTGCTGACCCAAACATCTGAAGGATATTTTTCTCCCCACCTTTTCTTCAGGTTCCGAGTGATGTGCCAGAAGGTCATTGCTCACAAAATGTTTGATCACGTGGTGCTGGTCTTCATATTTCTCAACTGCATCACTATAGCACTGGAGCGACCAGACATAGACCCACACAGCACAGTGAGTCCCTGAGTCTTTTTCTTCCTTGATCCAGCATCCAGATCTTAGACTGTCAGGGTAAGACCCTGCAAGATGAAAGATGATTGTTTTCTAACGCCTTTAAATAACTTACCTCTTTTTGTTATTCTGTGTTTTACAGGAAAGGATATTCCTAAGTGTTTCTAATTACATCTTCACTGCAATCTTTGTGGCTGAAATGATGGTTAAGGTAGTTACATCTTCCTCCCATGGCCTTCAGTGAGGCCAGGCAAAGGCCAGAACATGACATAGCTATGATCTGGGTGAAGATTTAAATGTCTCTCTTCTTCTGGCTGTAGGTGGTAGCTCTTGGCTTTTTCTCTGGGGAGAACACCTATCTGCAGAGCAGCTGGAATGTCCTGGATGGAGTCCTGGTCTTTGTGTCTATCATTGACATTATTGTCTCCATGGCATCAGCAGGCGGAGCTAAGATCCTAGGTGTCCTTCGTGTTTTGAGACTTCTGCGGACCTTGAGACCTCTCCGGTACGTTCACTGATAGGGTGGCTGAGTTTTCTCTGTGTTGATAGATCAAGGAGTTTGAAAAAATGCACGTAATCCATCAAGGTCTTGTTTAGTAACACAAAAAGCTGAAACACAGTATGGGTAGAATCATCTTTGGGGAGCTCTTATCTAGTGAAACTGTTTGAAAACAGTGAAATGAGTTATAATATAATTCATCTTCTGCAGTATGGGAAAGAGCGGATGGAGTTTGGAGTGAGAGGTGTTATCGTAGTCAGGCAGTTAGTGCAGTGAATGCCTCCTCCACGCTGCATTTTTATCACTCCTTCACAAATCAGTCTGGCTCCTCGTTAAACCGCACAACCTCAGGGTCGTTCCCAAGCAAAGAGGTCGCGTTGGCTGGGAGAAAATTTGCAATTGAACAGGTGCTGACAATAATTTGATAAGCTCCAGCGCCTATACCTGCTCTCCTGTGCCTGCATATCTAACATTACTGCAAAACAATGTAGCTCTCAGCTAGGAAGAGGAAGGGGAGACGCTTTCAGTATTTGAGAAAAGGAATAAAAAGAATTTGTGTTTTGTTTACGATTATGCAATAACAAAGAGTGTTAATGCTTGGGGGATTTTTATCAGCTCACGGCTCCAGTTCTATTTCCAGCCCGCTTGGCAAGAAACACAAGCCTTTTTTCATGAAATTTCAGGGGAAATAAGACCGGCTCCTCCTGAGACCTCTAGGCTTTCTGATGAAAAGCTGCTTGCTTATGAGAGTAATAGGAAGAGGCAATATTGTTTAGGTTCACGACCACAAGAACAACAGCTATTTGTCTGCTGCTCTGTATTTCCTTAGTGACAAGTAGCTTTGTGAGCGTTCGTGTCTCCTCTCTTGCTCCCCTGCTCTGTTCTGCTGGTGGCATTGGGGTCCCCTTGCAGTGCTGGCTCACCAGGAGCCACTCTGGCCCTGGACAAGCCTTGGCCTGGCAGCACCTCGGGGCACCTGTCTAACACACATATCTAGGAACCGAAATCAGGGCATAGGCGGTTCGTAAGTAAATGTACAGGGGGAAAAAAGGGAATTGGTCTTGGAGAATAACTAGGCCAGATCCTATTAATAGAGAGGAATTCATCAGCGCTCACAACGGCTTCTTTTATCACAGACCCTTCTAGGGTTATTCCAGGGACCACTCCTAACACTTTGTAGGTGCAGTTCAGACTGCCACGTTATTTGCTGCCGAACAAGACCCTGCTGAAATGCTTTGTCCCTGCAGCATACAGCTCTGCTCTCTTCTCCGTGTTTGGCAGGCATGAAAGCATCGTTAGCCGTGCAAGCTCAGGCTCCCTGCAAGGACTCGTACCCTCTCCCCTCTACAGGCCCCTCCTAAAAAAAAAGCTTTGATGTTTTTCAGTCAAAACACCCGCTTTCCCAGAAAATCTTGCTTGGGCTAGTTACACTTACGTGTGCAAACACATTTTTCACATGCCCATGGGAGAGCCATTCTCCAGGCACTCATACAGGAAAGGAAAGGACTTGTTCTCCATAATACCCAAAAGCTGCTTCAGACCGTGCTCAGAGCATGCCTGGCCTCTCATGGCCTCTCAGCAAGCTGCTGTTTAATGGGATGACCCTTTGGCTGTGGAGCTGTTGATCACAAGTTCCTGTGGGCTAAGAGTCAGTTCAGGAACTAATTAGGAAACAAATTGAAATTACTTTGTTTGGAAAGTTGTCGTGGGGCCCAGGCCAGTAGGGCAGCTGAGCACTTATGCCTATAGAAAGAGGACAAGACACACTCCCTAGTACCACTGTGAAGGTGTTTGCACATGTTGTGTTAGGAAGCAGGCTCCTGCCTTCTGTGTGCTCCTCAACTTGGATCAGAGAGACCTCAGAGGAGATCAGCTCTTTGGTCTGCGGTACAAATAGCCTTGTAGTGGGAACCTCTGTGATATGCTGCCTGTAGAGAGTGTCCTCTCCTCACCGTTACTAGTAAGCAATTGCCCAACACCCAGCTGGCAGCTTGTCTTATGCTTTTTTAATTCCATCTAATATGACTGTGAATGTTCTGGTTGTCCAAACAAGTCACAGATTGACAAGTCACAAATGCTGCCTGCAGGTAGAGGAGGGCTGTGTTAGCTTTACTGCAGAACAAGCAGAGGAGGTAAAGCAACCATATAATAACAGGGCATGCAAAAAAATTAAAGGCTTTATTGTTTTGTCATTTTTTCCAGAGTCATCAGCAGAGCTCCAGGTCTGAAGCTGGTGGTAGAAACCTTGATCTCCTCCTTGAGGCCTATTGGGAATATTGTTCTCATCTGCTGCGCTTTCTTCATTATCTTTGGGATTTTAGGGGTCCAGGTAGAGTATTTCCCTCACCATAGCCATCTGTAAGTGACTGCTGCAAAAGAGAAGCTGTTTTTCTCACCACCAGGGGTTAAAGTGGAAGTAATGAGCTTAAATCTCTCCAAAGGAAGATTTCAGTTAGGTGTTAGGAAAGAGCCAGGCCGTAGAAGAGATGTTCCGGGGTGGGGTTGGCATCTGCTCACTGTAAAGTCCTCAGGATGAGAAGAGCAGAGCTCCCTAATGAACAGCACAGCACCAGCTAAGCCTGCCTGGTGGGAATTTGTCTTTTCCTTCTCCTACCAAGATCCCTCCCAGCTCTGTGTGCTAGGATGTATATAATAGCTCTTCCTCAGAGGGCAGATTGTTATCCTTCCAACAAGACAGAGCAGGATCACCTTCCTTCTGTGTCTGAGGCAATACACAACAATTCTTCAGGGCCTGAAGTTTCACTGGGGCTGTTTTCCTGCCGTGTGTGTTAAGACAGGTATCTGAGCTGGAAGGAAAGGAAAAGAATTTGAACTTGGCAAACAGCTCTACTGGGGGAAAGATAAATCAGGGGACAGACTTTCCAAAGCTGCTGCTTTTTTTGTTTTTTCTTTTTCTCGTTGCTTCTCAAATACAGCTTTTTAAAGGCAAGTTCTACTACTGTGATGGTCCTGATGTGAAGAACATCACTACGAAGACTGACTGCACTAATGCACACTACAGATGGGTTCGGCGGAAGTATAATTTTGACAATTTGGGACAGGTAAAGTCCTCATTGTGGGGATTTTCTGTACCAGTTTTTAAAGGATGAGCACTTAAAATATATTCCTTGAGGAGGGTGTGGAACCTCTGTCATTGGAAGTTTCCAGGAATGAGGTAGGCTTTCATCTACCAGAAGCAACCCTAACTGGGTAAAAATGGATCAGGTCACCTCTTGATCTCTTGCAGCCAGACTTCCTAGGGTTATACAGCTCCTTATTTGTAGGAGAGTGCTGTCTTAAAGCTTTTGCATGCAGTCTCTCATGTATGGACCAAGATTGCAAGACCAATCTTTTCTGTTTGTTTGTTTTCTCGTAGGCTCTCATGTCCTTGTTTGTCCTCTCCTCCAAAGATGGCTGGGTGAACATCATGTACGATGGTTTGGATGCCGTGGGTATTGACCAACAGGTAAGTGTACTGCAGAGTCCAGATGTGTTGCTCTCAGAAGTCTCATGGCTAGATGACTGTGGTGATTTTTGAAGTCTCGGGGAAGAGCAGAGCTATAGGACCTCCTTGAGGTCCTGACTGCCCATTGGGCTATGAAGTGTTTTTGTTTTCCACTGAGTAGCTTTTGCAGTGGCTGCACCCCATGTCATACACAAACAAGCACTGATAGGGTTTTTAATTGGAACTTGAGGAGGCCACACATGCCATTGCACTGTAGCTTCACAGAAGGCATGATGAATACAAGCGAACTCGCACGAGATGGGAAACAACCAAGGATGTCATGAAAGAGACGTTGTTAAGTTTGTGTATTATGTGGCGTTTGCAAAGGAAAGTCAAGAGTCTTAGATGTGTAGTACCCCATTGTAGCTAGAGTAATACTTTGTACTTAATTTTCCCCTGTTTCTGAAGATCGTATAACGGCTGAGAAACATTAACCATGAGTCCATATCTCAAAAAAAAAAAGCTGGAGCCTGTCTAACTAAAATGATCTTTCAGGTGGGATGATGCACATCCACTGAATTTATCTTAAGCTATATGAAATAAATGATAAATGCCAAAATACTTAAATCCTGTAAGCCAACTTACGAAGGCTAGGATAAGTTTTACAAAAAAAATAAAATTCTAGTCAGTGAGAAAGTGAATAAGAGGAAACTGTTTTGGAAAAAATTTCCTATCTCCTCCAAGCCCTTTCCTCCTCCCCACAGAAGTGTACTGTGCTGTCGTGGTGCTACAGAGTGCCCAATATCCTGACTTGCACACATCTTATCTACGCCGCTTCTCTTCTCTCTTGTTTTTAATTCCCCACCTCACCAGCCCATCCAGAACCACAACCCTTGGATGCTTCTCTACTTCATCTCCTTCCTGCTCATCGTCAGCTTCTTCGTGCTCAACATGTTTGTGGGGGTGGTGGTGGAGAACTTTCACAAGTGCCGACAGCACCAGGAGGCGGAGGAGGCCCGGCGTCGGGAGGAGAAGCGGCTGAGACGCTTGGAGAAAAAGCGCAGGAGTAAGGAGATATACCTGTCTGGTCGGTAGACTGCATTACAAACCAAAATCTTTCTGAGCCCTGCCTGCTCCCAAAGCAAGACTTTCGTTTTCCTTCGGTTTTGTTTCCATGGGATTCAAGAGGCTGTTTTGCTTCATTACCTCTTTGACGGTACCTTAAGTCTTGGGTTGCCAACACCCTGGAATTGTCTTCTACAAGCCTGATGTAAAGCATTACCTGTTTACTTGGCTGGGGAGAAAATCCTCCTCCAAGCAGAGTCCTCTGTCATGCTCTGCAAGGCAAAAGTGTCCCAAGCACCGAGCGGGAGCTTGTGGCATGACTGAGGGATGCAGCGAGTAAACAGCTGCAATGCTTGCTGTGCGCGTGAAGGCCAGTCCCGAGGGCAGCCCTGGGGCTTAACGTGCCGCTTGCATCTGGTGATGGTTTGATTCATTCATTCTTTTCTCAGACAAAATAAGTGCGATGCTTTTTAGAGCCCTAGCGCATGGCCCTGCATGCCACAAACATGCTGCATGAGGGCATGAACAAACCGACAGCCCTGGGGAGAGGAATGCAGCCTCGAGATGGGGCTGTCCACAAAATTCTTCTCCAGAAGATGTCCATTACAAGAGATGCTTGCCCCATCACAGGCCGGGGGTTTCCTTCACTGTGAGCAATGTGCTGGGACTCAGTTTGTCCTTGCAAACAGTTGACATGGAAATACTGGCCAGACGCAGGGCCCTTAGGGTGCAATGGAAGGCCTTTAGCTGAAATCTGCTTCTTAGTGGATCTAGTAGGGACAATCAAACCAGACCAGAAAAACACCTGAGCTTGTGCTCCTTTCCTAACCTAAACCTTCCCAGAGGTTCTCATGTATTAATTCGCCCCTCCGCTGCTCCTTGGCAGGTTCCACCAGAGACAAGCTGCCTATAGCATCTGGCAGGTGTTCCCAGGGAAACTGCCAGGAAACCAGCCACAGCGACTTCCCAGCCAGTTTTAGAGAACACGGATAGCCTGCGTTAGATGCTGGCAGGCGTTTTTTAGAATAAGTGAGGGAGCATGGCTTGGCCACTGTAATCAAAGACGAGCTTAGTCAGGGATAGGGCTTGAGTGCTCCTGGCTCTGCTTGCCGCAGCAGTCCTGTGGCTCTTTGCCTAGCCCCGTGCTGCCCTGTATAATCAATCTCCTGTGAGGACCTGATATCTCATTGTGACAAATGGCTAGTTGTCTCCCAAACACCAAGCCACAGGTATCCGTTTTCAGCTGCAGTTGGATCGAATAGTCTTTTGCCTGGCTCTAAGGACGTAGCAGTCAGAGGCTTTGCTAGTAGAAGCTCCAGCCAATTTCCTCCATCCATCCATCCATCCATCCACGCTTGAGTCAGAAGGCAGGCAGCTGTATCCCTCGCAGCTCCTCTCCTGCTCTTACGGTCCTCTTTGTTAGAGCCATGGGAGACCTCAGCACTAAATGTCTGCACCATGGTCTCCACAGAGCCTTAACGACAGACTGACCTGACGCCACAGTGAAGGCCAAGCCCATTTCATTTTAGCTAGTTGTGAGTTAAGTACCTGGGTTAGAATGAAATCTGGATCAAACTAGCCAGCTGCAAACAGACACTGCATCTCTGCAGAGATTTAGAAGAGTTCAAATGCAATTTCATTTCCCTTTTGCCATTTTGGTTTTTGAGTTTGAGATTCCAGCTAGGATTAGAAGTGGAAATCCTGAAGGCAGCATTTCCAGCACAATAAGAGAAATCAGTTTCAGGCTTTCAGGAGTCCTCCTGCTTGTGCAGTATTTCTACACTAATGTGCTGACCCAAGACATTCAGATAAACTTAAAGTTTATACGCAAAAAAAAAAAAAAAAGAAGTTTATTTACAAAGAACATAGAACATTAAGCATCCTTAGAGAAAACAGACTGGGGCACAGGTAAGGAGGGATAGCTTAACCACAGCCAGTTGCTGTGCCTGATTAGTAAGTAAATCTTATTACAAGCCTGTTTGTGTCTCGCTGCTGAGACACCGAAAAGAGCCAGTCCTTGTCAAAGTGATGGACTCTGTTGCCTTGCCCCTCTTTATCCAGCTATCTCAAAGGACAGAGTCAAAGAGACACTTCAGACCGCAGAGCCAGGCATCGCGCAGATGTGGGTTGTAACATTTCACTGAGAGCGCAGAGGGAGGAGGACAGCTTTCTGGAAGATGATCAAGTCCAATATAGCAACTGAGAGGCTAGACGTTTGGCCATGTGCTGGGCTTCCAGGAGGTTACCTCAGATCGTCTGGCTCTGAGGTCTCCTACCTGCCTCTGTTCAGCATGGACAGCTTGGCATCCAAATTTGCATCGTTAACGAGGTGAAATCAAATATCTGATACACATTTTGGAAGATTACTATTTACATTTTAATGGATTTTTTTTTTTTAATTTAAATGGGAGGAGTTTTCATCTCCTGGGTAATGTAGAAGATGATGGATTTGGTGAAAAAACGTGGCAGACTCAGAAAGATGGGAGATGTTGCTGGCGCCGTGCGTGGCAGAGTCTCCGGGGGAAATGTCTGTGTGCACGTGCAGGCATGGGGTGCTGCACAGAGAGGGTGGGCTGGCCAGCTTTCCACGTGCCCCAGCGCAGTGTGTCTCACCCATACGGAGGAGCAGGTGAGAGACCAGTCCCCACAGGGCAGGGTGGGCACAGGAGACCAGTGATTCTGCAGAGGAGCAAGGAGCCTACGTTGGGGAGTCTAGTAGAGAACCCTGCTTTTACTCCAGTTGCCATTTCTAGCCTTTGGCCTGAAGAGACCATAAGGGGAGGAAGAATTAGGGCTGTTAACAAGATTAAAATCCAGCAGAGCTAGCAGATGTATTGTCAGAGCAACACCCATCCATCTGGACTCACCCTGTCTGCATGGCATCTTGTCGTTGTGTCCTGTCTCCTGTCCATAATGTCCTCTGTGCGTAGCAACCCTGTGAGTGTTTCTGTGTACTGAGGTCTTTGGGCATCTGTAGGTACCTGCACACACAGAAACGTGCCGTTGAGCCATAGTAGGCTTGGGCTCAGGCCTGGAAATGGGGTAAGCCTCAGTTTGTCAGTGCCTGGATGGTCCTATCCGAGCCGGCTCTGGGTACAAATCCCAGGCTTTGCAGGCTGGGTTGAGGATTTGGACCCTGTGTGCAGAGCTGCGAGCCTGGCAGAGGGATTGCTCTGTGGAGGATACAGCGCTACAGCAGGACACAGCTCCTTCATCAGACCCCACACAAGTGGGATGGGGAATCATCATGTGTCTGTTTTGGGGTACTTTTCAGGAGCCTGGCAGGAAGATCCCTCTCAGCTTGTGTCTCTGCTGTCAGACACCTCAGACCTTTCCAAAAAGTTTATTGTTTCTCATCTGAGGGCCACTTTCATGAAGGGATTGGGACAGGGTGACACCGCATGCCCCTTGTCGGTGTGCCCTGACTGTCACTGCTCCTGGGACGAGCATCACTTGAGGCACCAGCAACGGGCCTCATGGACCCAACGTGTCAGCAAGTGCTGCCGTGCCAGCACGGCCGGGCTGCACTAAACTCCTCTGAGGCCAGGGCCAGCGCCGAAAGAAGACCCTGGGTTTGCCAGTTAACTCTGCTAACATGAGAAGAGAGGACAGGGGGGTTGATATGGTTTTGGGCAACCTGGTGTAGTGGAGAATTTCCCTGCCCATGGCAGGGGGGTTGGAACTAGATGATCTTTGAGGTCCCTTCCAACCCAAACCATTCTGTGATTCTAAAGGCAGAACTGCATGGCATAGAAGGTAAAAATTCAAGATAAACTAGAATATTTTTCTGACGCAGTCACTACTACCTCCATCCACTATATCTACTATGTAAATAAGGGTAGTGTAATTTAATAATCCTGCAGCTCCTAACCTTTTAATGAGGTTCTCAGAAGACATAGACTGAAACCAGCCTCCTCGGGTTCAAGTTTTTTATTAAAACCACATGGATCAGCTTGATCTCCTCTGCGTTCAGGATCTGGGGCTGAATCCAACGTGCCTGTGTCTGCTGTGAAGCCAGCAGCCCCTGGCCCGCTGAGCAGAGCATGACATTGGGTCAAACACGGGCAGTACCCTGGGCTTCAAAGGCTGGAAGCGAGGTCTGGGTGACACCGTGTGCCGAAAGCAATGCGGGCAATGCTGGAAAAGCTGGAAATGCCTGACACAGCCCAGGGGAGGCCCTAGCTGGGGGGCAGAGAGTGCCTTTCAGTAGTGTCACCGAGTCACTGGTCCCTGGGAAGACCCTAAAAACTGAGAACTGAGAAAAGGCAAATGCTCTTTCCTGATTCCCACTCTGTACAAGAGGAGTGTGGCCACAGCTGTGCTGCTCTGAGGCATCTCCTAACACGGAGCTGAGCGTCTGAGCATCGTAGAGGGAAGAGGCCAGTTCTAAGACCCAGCAGAGATGCCTTTCAGAGCACTGACTGTAAGCCTTTCTCTCTAGAGATGAACAATTGTGGGCAGCACACAGTGGTATTTAAATTAGTCTGTCCTCTCAATGCCACAACCATCTCTGTATCCAGCAGAAACATTTGAGCTGTAACTAAAATTTTGGGCACTGCGTATCTGAGTGTTTAGTATTTCCAACTAGGGAATTATCAAACCATCTTGTATATTTTTCCAGGCAGCTGCAGGTACAGAGCTACTCTGTGCCAAGCATGCATATAAACCCATTAGGGCTTTCTAATGTTTCATGCAGAGGAGAATAATGGAGAAGCTGTAGCTGGCAATCGTAATGCCAACCTAAATGCTTTTAAGCTAGGAGACAGTGCTTCATTAATTTTCATGTCAGCAGACTCACAAGCAAAGAAGTTTAAATACTCTTCAGAGAGGTGAGATTCAAGCGTTAGCCAACATCTAGAAATGGGGGTGAGAAAGGACTGCAGTTTTCCTTTTGTATGTGTTTGATGGTTTCTCCTTTCCCTCCTGCATTTCCACCAATTCAAACCATCAGCTGCAACTGAAGGGATACTTGTCTGCGTTTGATGTAAGTCTGTTAGTTGGCTGATTGGAGTCTCATCCCAGAAACCATTTCCCTGGAGAAACCAGGCACAGGTTACATTTTGCCTGCATTAATGATGCACTAGATCTCCCCCATTGGCTGTGCCCACATCCCCATGGCCCACGGTTCTCCTCATACAGGTTCTCCTGCAGACCCCACATCTCTGGTTGAGCAGGCTGTAGCAGTAGGTGTACGCAGTGAACACTTACACCCAAACTGGGGAGGACAACACAGTATGTTTTCACTAAGAGGTAAAAATGTGTATCTGAACTGAAAGGAGGCCAGAGCTGCTTGCTGTGCTGTTGACTGAAGTAAAACCACTGTTCCTAAAGGGACTGGGAATGAACAGTGACCCAGCAGAGCTGGGGGCCTTGGAGCTCCGAAACGCAGCCTCCCTCCTGCTCGGAGCGGGTCAGAGCTGCAGTGAAGCTGTGTGGCTGATCTCTCACTGCTTTCACCCTGCTGCAACCCCTCCACCTTCACGGGATTGTCCTGACCCAACACCAGCGTTGCCGAGAGCAGAAGCTGGCCTGTCCTTCTGCACACCCCTGCGCACTACCGTTGGCCTCGCATGAGCGGCATCTCCTCTAATGGACATCGCATGGGTTACTGCACTGAGCATGACAGTGCTGCTGCATGTGTTTCGAGGTGTTGTCGACTTTATCCCCCACTGTCCTTGTGTGTGTCCCCTCAGGAGAAGTTTACTTTCTGTCTGTTAACCTGGCTTCAGGAACGTAGTGCATCCTAAATGAGTAAGGCATTTCCTAGAGCTCCCTCATCCCAGCTCAAGTTAAACCTATCCCAAGTTTTCTGAGCAACTGGTTGACCAGGCATAGCCAGTGCTGTGCTCTGGCAGAGGGAACAGACACAGACCTCTGAGACACAATCACAGGAGACCTACCTGTAGGGCTGGGTGGTTCCTCCGTACTGTTTGGATATCCAGCCCACGTAAAGAGAGCTGTGTCGCTGACGGGCAGCCTAGAAGGTTTTCTCTTCAGTGGCTTTAAAGTGGAAAATGTCTTCTTGTGATTATGCTTTAGAATTAAATGAGTAGTTTATAAAACATAATAAACAGCTGATCTTTTGCTGAGTAGTTAATCAATGGCTGCATTTGGGCACGTTAGAGTATAGTTGCAGTCACCTACAGCCTGTTTTCCTTACGTGCTGCTAGCCAGTATATTCACATGCTGCCCATCACTGCTAATGTTGTTCTGAGATCCATTAATCAACTATCAGTCATTAATAAATAGTTCCTTAATATAACGTTTGACCATTTGGAGTATTCTCAGACCTCCCAACAGCTGATTTTTTGCATTCCCAAGAAGACATTTCCAAAAGAAAAAATATGTCATAATCCTGAATACACAAGAAATTACATTGTACAAACTTTAACAAATATTATACTGCAATGTTTTTATTATTATTTTTTAGACATGCCAGAAGATCAGCTGAGCTCAGTAGCAAAGGCAGCCCTGCCAGTCCGAGATGACTGGTGGGTCTAAGGCACATGAAAGCAACAGAAAAATGCATTTAAAAACAACTGTGTTTGCTTTCATCTTGTTTTTCCACACCCATTGGCAGAAAAACGAAGTCTAGGTGACCCCAGTCGGAAGGAAATGTTTTTCAAATACCTCCACTCCACTTTTAACTACCAGGAAAAAAAAATAGTTGAAAGGGAGCAGCAGATTCAGTTTCCCCTTATCCGATTTGTTTTAGAGTTTTGGACTCTAATCTGGCATCGGTTGCACTACCAAAAAAAACCCCACGTTTCAAGACTCACTCCATCTGAAAGATATTAGCAAGATGAGAGGAGTGGAAAATGTATTTTAGAGGGTCACTGAGTACTTTTGAACCTATTTCCCTCCTTATTTTTAAGATGAGGCAACTCCTTTTTCCCAGCTCCTTGTGCATTTAAAGCTGCATTTTCAGAAAAATTTGCAAAAAAATCCCTCTCTGTTAAGAACAATCCTGCTCTGATTTGGTATGACCTAACACGTCTCTTCCACTTGCAAAATCCCCAGTAATGCTGACTTTGGCCTTAAGTTTGCCCTTTGAACATTTACATTTCTTAAGTTTGGAAAGACTTTGAGTCCGTGCGAGTGCCCACAGCCGTCTTGTGGTCACAGTCTAACTTCAGAGAGACACACACAGTAAATGCAACTCTGTCTCAGGGCAGTGTCCAAACACTCTCCTTGGAACAGCCTCAGGAACTTGGTCATGTGCAAAAACTTCCCCATTTCAAAGAGAATAAAGGAGGAGTCGTGACCAGAGGCAGAGATGTGAAAATCACGTGGCTGTAGCCTGAATGGTTTTTTAGGTGCAACCATGCCCTTGGTCTTATGTTTCCAGAGGAGCTTGTGCTGACAGTCTTTGTCAAGACAAATGCTGAGCACCCCGTGCCGTTGCTGTTGACGCTGTCCTGTGTGCTACTGACCCTCACGCATGTGTCCTACTTTGCCACAGGCATCGCTAGGTTTTCCTTAGACCTTTGAAATACGCCAAAAGCCTTCTCACAGAAACTGAGCTCAGGTTATGTTCTTCTCTTGCTTATGTGGAACATGCCTGACATCAGCAGGATTAGGAGAGATGCATATCAGACTCCAGAATGATGAGACCTGCTCTCAGCTCTTCCTCTAAACAGGAGTTGAAGCTTTGCTGGATTTGAAGCTTTTCTCTTGGCTTTGGGTCTGATTTCCATCTTCTCACCCTTCCTGGTTTGTGGCATGGGTCCCATTAAGTGAAGAGATTGTCCTCTAGCCTGAGACAGAGCAGTAAGAACAGGATACACTTGGGAGAAAAAAGGGACCTGGTTGTCAAAGCTATGGAGGTCCCTTCTGCAGGCGCAAGAGGTTTGGCTGAGCCTGAGAACCCCACTACAGTTCTTGAAGACCTCACTGCTAGGTGGAAGCTCTTGACCATTTCATGTGCCTTGCTTGAAACAGTTCTCCCAAAGGCTTCGCCGTGCATCCAGACGCGTGTAAGACATGACCCACAGGCCACGTTGTGGTGGTTGCCAACCATGCAGCAGGGCCTGCATTCATTGTGTATCCTTTCTTTGTCTTTTTCTGCAGAAGCCCAGCGTAGGCCTTACTATGCTGACTATTCCCCAGCGCGGAAGTACATTCACACCCTCTGCACCAGCCACTATCTCGACCTCTTCATCACATTCATCATTGGGGTCAATGTCATCACTATGTCGATGGAGCACTACAACCAGCCAAAGGTAAGACCACCCGTCAATGTGTTGGCCATGAAACACAGCAGTGTAGGGTAGCAGAGGACCTGAGGACCATATGCTGTTCCCTTGGGATACCGTTGACCAGTGAGGTCTGCAGCCAGCCCAGCTTCCCTGGGACCATTCTGTGGTCTTTAAAAGCCTCAGCAGGCTCCAGACTCCACATTGCAATCTGTCTGACTCCAGGCCAGCTCCACCATTCAGGAGCCACTCGCCTCAGCCAAAAGCTTGATTTCCCTGTTCTTGCGTAAAACGCAGAGAATGAGGCTAATGGAGAGTGAACTAAACTTTTACTAGGAAAATACTAATCCAAATGTTTCATCTCCTGATCCCAGCCATGACCGACCCTCAAACTGTAAAACAGTCAAGGGTTCTAGAATATTGCATTAACAGGTACAAACACAAAGTTAATGCATGCAAAGCAATGTTTATTTTCATAGAATCATAGAACCATTTAGGTTGGAAAAGACCTTTAAGATTATAGAGTTCAACCGTTAACCCAGCACTGCCAAGTTCCCACCAAACCATGTCCCTCAGCACCACATCTACCCATCTTTTAAATACCTCCAGGGATGGTGACTCAACCCCTTCCCTGGGCATCTTGTTCCAATGCTTTCCTTTGGTGAAAAAATTTTTCCGAATACCCAATCTAAGCCTTCCCTGGCACAACTTGAGATTATTTCCTCTTGTCCTATCACTTGTTACTTGGGAGAAGAGAGTGACACCCCCCTTGCTATAACCTCCATTTGAGTAGTTGCAGAGAGCAATAAGGTCTCCCCTGAGCCTCCTTTTGTCCAGGCTGAACAACCCCAGTTCCCTCATCCGCTCCTCATCCGCTCCCAGTTCCCTCCACTTGTGCTCCAGACCCTTCACCAGCTTCATAGCCCTTCTTTGGACACACTCCAGCACCTCAATGTCTTTCTTGAAGTGAGGGTCCTCAATGAATTTAGAATAGACCGACTCTTAAGTACAACCCTTCTTTATGTATCATAAAATCCTTCTTTCCCATGAAAACCTGTGGCATAAATCGTAGTGCCTGTCCATTTGTCACATACGTTAGTCTTCCATCACATTATCATTCACGGAGCTATAGGCTCAGTGTTTACTTTTCTAGTATTGCATGGTCTACCAGGTAAGCTGCAAGTGGCTTTGGAAGCTAAGCCAGAAGGGCATCAAGCCACAGGGTAACACGTGTGTGTTCTACGCTGGCTGACCGTGTGCTGTTCTGCCCCCATAATTCCATTGCATAACAGCCTTTGTTTCGCATGTAAACGTTATTTATCCAGATTAGGTCTTGTAGATACTTGTTTTATGGTCATGTAAAACATGGTGGTGTAAATCTGAATGCAAACCATCATAAAGGATGTAAGAACTCAAGCTCGGGCAGTGAGCTTTAGATGAAATAGTAGATCGTCCCACATTCTTTTAAGGTAGCCATTTTATTTTAGCACTAGAACAAAAATAGGGATAGTAGCGCAGTGAGGAATGCCAACATCTGAAAAACTTTCAGCTCTTGTTCCAAAAAAATTTGGTGCACGGTCATCCCACATATCTGGGGTCAGCAAAGCACAGTCACCACACAGATGTGATGAGGAGAGCTTTCCTGAGGAGAAACTCCAGAGGAGAGACATCGCCTGTCAACAAAGCAGACGTTGCTTTCCAGACTCCTCTGTTGCATTTTATTTCCAACTGTGTCTGTTCCGATATTCACTGTTATAATTTTTTTATTGTAAGGACCTATACTGCACTCAACTAAATTCCCCTTCTCTCCCTCCTCTCCCCAAATCCCTACCCAACCAAAGAGCTGTTTCACCCTGTAACTATCTATTTTAAGGTCCCAGCAAGATTCCTTTGCTATTGTTGGCCTACATTTCCAATGAAATCCATTACAAACACTCATCATCTTCAAGTATAAACACTGCAGATTCCTGGCTTCCGAGAGCAGCTCTATAGAGAACGTGAACGTTGCATCCAATATGGACATACTTTGCCCAGCTCTGGACATGTAACATTTTTCAAGAAGGCCAGATTTAATTCATCTCCAACATTATTTATTTTTCGGAGTGTTTTAAGCAAAGCCATTGTCCTAAGGATTGCTGTGCTGGAATAAAGAAATGATCCATCAAGTCTTTGATTCTACCCAAGGCTACACAGTTCAGAAGAAGTAAATTTTATTAGACGGGGAGGGGCTAAAAACGATTTGCACTGAAGTTGGAGGGTTGATAGCTCTTGACATTTTTAGCACAACTAGTATTAGTGCTGATGAAGATTTTGTTTGCATCAGTGTCTAGTGCTTTATTTGACGTTTGCTGTGTGTTTTAGTGCAGTTTTGTAACTGAGCTCTGCAAGCTATTATGACTTGACTTCTTACATCTCTGTGCCTATGCCACCCTTGTGCCTGCCAGTCCCTCTGCAAGGGCTCTCGGAAAGGATAGCTTGGACTGGTCTAACTGGTGTCTCTCTTTTCAGTCCCTGGATGAAGCCCTGAAGTACTGCAACTATGTGTTCACCATCGTTTTTGTGTTCGAGGCAGTTCTGAAGTTGGTGGCATTTGGTTTCCGAAGGTTCTTTAAGGACAGGTGAGAGTATTTTAAACTCCTGTGCATTTGGGATAGAGCTATATTGACCCAGTTTCAAACCCAGATACTGGGTAAATGTAGCGTTACTATGGTTGTGCTACATGCTGCGTGCAAGGAAGGACTGTCTCTCCATGGGTGCAAACTTTATAGTGTAGGAACTAAAAATTCTGAAAGCTGCTGGTACTGCTTTGTAGAAGGAATTCAGGAAATCTTACAAAATTCTACATACGTTCCTTCCCCCAGTATCTGCCTCTTCAGCAGGTCTGACCGGCTCAGCTTAGAGGTCAGACACAACCTGTTAGCATCAATCCAGTCCTCAAAAGAGTATTTTTGGCAACCTAAGGTCACAGAGTTCCTCAGAACAAGTCTCCTTTGCAGTCCAAACCAGTCCTTTGATAGACTGCTGGCTTCGTAAAGCCTTTGGCAGAGACAGAAATAATTGTGTTCAGTCCCACCACCTTCAGATCCCAGCTGTAGAGACCTATGGATCTTATTCTGCCTCACATTGAGCCAGGTCTGGTGTCTTGCTGGGGAGCAGGGTAAGATTGCACACTTTTGCACAAGATCAACTTGTTTGCTTCATTTATCCTGACTGAGTGGTTGGAAGCTGCTATGAGCAATATTACTTCTGCGGGAAATTGCGTAGGAAAGACAGTTCCTTCACATCTTACTGTCTGTCTAGTGCTGGTGTGGAAGGCCCTCTACAAGAGTTAGGCTACAAATCAGTGAAGATACTCAAGCGGAGTAATTCAAGAGACAGGTGACATAACATGGGAGCAGCTGTGTTGTATCACATCAAAGGCCCCTCCAGCCTAGTATCATGTCCCTGAGAGTGGCTCCAAGTGGACAGCAGGGGGACGATAGGGACATTTCCCAGTCAGAGCCTACAGCAGCGTGTGGCTCAGAAGCTGGCTGTGCCAGCTGCAGCCAGTTGGTTTTGTACCACATAGAAGCCCAAGAGCCCAGATATGAGGGAGAAGAGGCATTTGGGATTTGCTTGTGCTCGTTATTAGCAGATAATTCTTCACTCTTGGATGTCTGTCCGTGAATGATTTTTGTTGTTGTTGTTGTCCTTCCTCTCTTTGCTGCTATTAACAGGTAATTCTCCACTCTTGGGTGTCTGTCTGTGAATGATTTGTTGTTGTTGTTGTCCTTCCTCTCTTTGCCTGTTAGGTGGAATCAGCTGGATTTGGCCATAGTTCTCTTATCAATTGTGGGAATCACGCTGGAGGAAATCGAGATGAATGCTGCACTGCCCATCAATCCCACGATAATACGCATCATGCGGGTGCTGAGAATAGCAAGAGGTACGGCCTGCTCCATAGGTCTCCAGCCATCCCTCCAGACACGTCAGGAAATGGTTTGGCCATTTGTTCTTCTAGTCCTGCTGTTTCAGTTCAACTGGAGAACAGTTAGGTGATGGGGCTGCAAAATGTCAATTTGGAGACAAGCTAGGTGGGGTTGCATGGGTGTTCCCAGTGGCATCCTAGACTGGGCTCTAATTCAAACCTGGGAACAAAGACCTTTTATGCCGATACCAGACAAGTGCGGGAGGTGGTGGAGAAGGGAGGATCAGAGCTCCTCATCACTCTCCCGTTTTCCTGCTGGAGTTCTTCTGGCTTTTGGTCTGTCTTACTGATGTCCTTAACGTTAATTGGTGTGGGAAGTAGTCAAGATGTTCAGATGTTCTGCGGGCCTTGCCAGGATGCAGTGAGCTTGCCATCTGTAGGAATAGATGCAAGAGGGATGTAAACCCTCCCTACGAGATCTGAAGCTAGATTTCCTTTATGGGTTTTGCTTGAAATATTTCCCAGCCCTGCTGACCAGGATTTGATTCTCATTGTAGTACTGAAACTGCTTAAAATGGCCACCGGGATGCGAGCTCTCCTGGACACAGTGGTACAAGCGCTTCCCCAGGTAAGCCCCCAGACTTCATCCACGCCCAGTTTGTTCCCCGTGGTGGACTATGCCTTTTGGGCCTGGGGGCAGCTCTGTGCCACTGTGTTTGGTGGACACCAGAAGCCAGCTGGGGAGCGTATCAACTTTCTCTGCTGCCACCAGTGCCTTGGTAGCAGAGTTTTGCATGACACATCCTGCCCACAGTGTCTGTTAGATGGGAGAACCAGAGTGATGGAAAAAGAGTTAACAAAGGGCCAATTGCTGTAGGCAGAGCTCTTACAAAACACAGATTTCCCTGGCGAGTTCAGAAAACACAAGGATAGACAGAGAAAGCTGTTGGTGAAAGCACTGGAAGCAGACAACTTTCAGCTCAGCAGTTTTCTTTGTGAGACGGGAGCAACCACGTTTATTGACACCTATTGACAGAGGAGCTGTGGACTTTAAAAGACAAATAGGGGAGACATTTCTGAGTGTGAAAAGCTTGAAGCAGAGTCTCAAACCACCATTTTCTCATGAGCTGCAGGAGGAACAATGTTGCTGGCAGTCTTAATGATGTTTGATGGGATCCTAAAAGCATTCAGTTCCTGGGACCACTTTCTTATGAATCCATTTATTTGAAAAAAGGAGGCAAGAAACTTTTTGCTGACTTGTACTACTCCCTCAAAAAGATCTAAAGCACATCAGAAGAATTCTAAGAAGTTTAGGATTCCTTTCTTTCTAAAATCCTAGGCTATTTAAGCTGTGTTCTCCTAGTTTGTGGGTTTGATGGTCTGAGTCCTAATCTTTAGAGTCAGTTCAGTTGCCCCTATTCCAATTTCATATATCACCAGGATCCTGTATCCCTCCAGACAGTACTGGAAACATTTACTGCCACATTTTACCCAGAAGTGAGTACCAATATGAGGTGCCAGGCCATCAGGAATGAGGCAGAGGAGCTCTCCAGCCACCTTCTCTGAGCTGGCAATTCAGAAACAGCACTTTTAGGATGCATAAGCATGGTCAGACAGGTCTTTATTTTTCAACCCCCTTCAAAACATCCCACAGCTGACTCACAGGAAGGAGCTTTGAGTGGGCCCCCTCCATTCTGTGTAAAAGGCAGTGTAGTGTGTCCTGGGATGGACTGGGAGAGTCAGGCCCCCCCTCTCCCAGCCCCGTAGGCACAGGGAGATGGCAGCACACCGCGGTGGGCAGCCACATCTCCATCAGCTTCAGCAGTCTGCAGAGGGATCACACCGCAAAGGCAAGATGATGGCACTGTGGCTTGGCCAAAAGCAGATACCATGTAGACATCTCTTCCAGAATATGAGTGGTCATTTGAGAATCGGTAGAACTAGTACACTTATTTACCCAAATATGAGTTAGTTGCTAAGCACAAAGAAGCCCATGATCTATTCAAAATGAACTGGGAAACAAGGGGAATTTCTTTTTCTTGGAAAGACCCGTTTAATTTGCATCACTGCTGTAAAGATGTTTCTAATCTGAGAAATTTGCCCTTTGGTATTCAGATTTCCTTTTCAGTGAAGGATTTTGGCTGAGACTAAAGCATGGATTTTACCAACCTGACCCCTGTTTTGGCATTTCAAGAAAGTATTTGATTTGTGTCTGGTTTTTTTTTTCTTTCAAAAGCATTGTGATTACAGAGCATATTTTCTCTCTCTCCCTGTTTTCTCTCCCCCTAAACAATAGGGCAGCTGCAAGCCAGGCTTTTTGTTTCCTTATGGTGTTTTTGCAGTTTACATTCAAACCAAAGTCTCTCTTAAAGGGACATTCCCAGGGATATTCCAAACAGATCTTGTGCAGATAAAAATGCCGTTTTGTCCTCCAGTGAAATTCAGAAAATGAGAAGGGAAGTTTCCAAAGACCTCTCCGACAACAATCACTCTTCATAAAGCTACAGCTTTCATTTCAAAGGCAGAGGAAGAGTTCCTACCCCAATTAATTTAGCAGCCTAAAACCACAGCTGGAAAATCCTCATTGAATGCGCCTGCTAAGTGACAAGAAAAATGAATTTGATGTTTATTTATTAAGGTTTTGGGGGAAATTCTTTGCCAGGTGTATGTAGAATGTCCAATTATGGGCTTACCATGACAAGTTGTTGTCATTGCAGTACGCTTTTTTCCTTTCTTTTTTGGGTGATTTTCATCAGCTTCCTATTTGTCTTTATTCAGCAGCAGATAGAGCTTGAGTAACACTTAGAGAACCAACTATCCCCAGACATGGGGGAATGTTAGCATTTTGATCCAAGATTGAAGCTGTCACAATACAGGCTTACTCTCCTCTTCTGGAACTTCAGACTGACCTTGAGCTGCTGGTTTCAATGTAGGAATACTTCCTACCCTACTGCATCCTCGTTGTCTGGTAACCTCATGTCTACCAGTTCAGAGATCTTCTCCTCCACCATGTCTCTGAAGAAAATGAGATGGAGCAGAGGAGAACAAACGAAGAGAGGCAAGAGACGCAGAAAGAATGGTCAGGGAAAGATCTCAAAATGGTGCCTTCTTTGCCCACCACCTCCATGCCCTCTTAATCCCAGCAAATGTTTGGGATATTGTGAATCGATCATCACGTTCCTGCCATAGGCCATCTGTGCTTGTGCAGTGCTGGCTCTTTTACCCACTACCATGCAGTCTTGTCACAGTTATCTCCTTTTCAAACAGGAATCCAAGTTTTCCAGTTTCACAGCTGGTTGATCAACAGGTTGAACGAGTAGTGGGGCCTTGGTCACCTAGAAAGGCACTGCCAGCCTCAGCTCTGAAGGTGTACCCTCCTGGCATGAAAGTGTACCCTCCTGGCACACCCGTTTGGAGAATGAACAAAATCTGCCGTGGACTCCGAAGTATGAAGTGCTAAAATCAGCTACGCTGGCATAAACTTGAAATAGATCCACTGCTTTAAGCTGAGCAGCTAAAAAGAGCTGGGGTAGTGTGACCAGCACCGACCTCATCACTTAGACATCACCAGTCCTGGTAAGCTGGTTCGGTGCTGCCTTTCACAGACCCAGCACTCCCCCGTGATCGCAGAGGGCTGCTCCTGGCGAGACACAGACCGCACAGCTCTGCGCTGAACTTCAGCACGTCTTTTAAAAGCCACCTACTCTTGTTTTAAGGATGCAAAGTGTTAGGAAATCAGCCATCCTCTTTGATGAAATACATTCTTCCAGTAGATGTTTACTCTTTCTGCTAAAAAAAAATCTGGTGCTTTTAGTCTGAATTAGCAAAGTTTGTTTTTTCATTGGATGTAATTTTGCTTTTATTCTTCTTGGACTTCTCCTTTTCAGAGCAATAAGAGATAAAATAATCTCTTGCAGTCTGGCAAACAGAAGAACATTGAAGTCCTTTAATCTCTCAGTATGAAGCAGGTTTTCAAGACCTATTTCAAGCGTTTGCCTCTCCTTTATGAGCTGTGGCTCCATTATGGCCATATAATGAATTATACCATTCTTATGCTTCAGCTGAATATTCCCTTGCTTATACATCTGGTGGCTGCATCGGTTTTGTAAGCGATGTCTGCTCTGTGAGACTCCTGTTTGATGGTAATCCTTTCATCCTCTTCACATCCCCTGCTTTCCAAAGTACAGTGCACCCTTTCTGTAGCACGGCCTGCACTTCACTCTCGGATTTGTAACCTGGCATTTGGCTGGGTTAAAACACTCATTGTCTAAGTGAATCCATCGAACTGAGCAGCCCGGGTGAGGCTGCACAGCACTGCTAGTATCGATTGCCAGTAAGAAAACCTGCAATCCATGCTAAGCTGCCAGTGTTCTTCCCGGTGGAGAGGACAAAGTGGAATTCAGTCCAGTTGCTATCCTGGCTCTGCAGGGCCAACAACAGTAAAATGTGGAACTTTCCTATCAAAAGATCTGGGTCCTTTTTCCTTCTTCTTTCTCACTTGGTCTGCCGACAGCACATTAATTAAATACAGAACTGGACAATATACCTCCTCTTTGTCTTCAAAGCTTGGAACTCCCCCTAGATGGACTCTGTGCCAAGAAAAAAGTGAAGAACTCCTCGTTCTATCAGTGCCCTGAAGGACAGAGTCTGTAGTTTGCTCGTGTCCAGGAGTTTAACTTTTCGTAATGCTGTAATTCCTGTGCTTATCTCAACTTCAACTCTTGAAGAGGTTTTCTGGCTTTGTGTAACAGCAGTTATGGGATATAAAGAATAGCCTGCTTTTGCCAGACACTGAAAACCCACGGTGATTGTGAAGCTCAGCGAACAAGAATAGAAATATTTTCCAGCAAGCATTGCAGATGAGACAGATTCTGGAAGATAGGTTTGTGGGTGCTGTGCTGCACACTGGAAGGAAGTGCAGAGACACCTGAGAGATTTGAGTAGTGAAGCAGAAATCATTCGGTAAAGAAACACCGTTTTGCTGTTAGCGCTGGTCTCCGTCGGGCTGAGTGGGTACACAGAAAGGGAAGCTAATGAGCTTCCAGTTCAGCTGGTGGCCCCGTGTTTGCACCAATGAGATGGCTTTAGCCTCCAAGGTTGTCTGTCTGGCCCTTTCCACTAGTCCTGGAATTCACACAGATGGCCTCTGTTTTCTGAGCAGACAAATGTGTCCATTTTCTCTTGGGTCTAGCGCATAAATTAGTCTGTATTTGCTGCTGCCAAGCTTATTGCTTTGGCTGGAGAGTGCTGGAAGGAAGACGAGGAGGACTCATGTCCTTGGAAAGGATTGGCAGGGACTTAGTTTTATGAGAAATTGCTCTTGACAGGCATGCCAGGGAGCTGTGTGCATTGCCTGCATGGACAGCTGAAATGCCAAGGTGTGGACCGGTGGGGCAGAAATAACTGAGGTCAGAGCAGGAAGAGGAACTGTAGTGTGCTTCAGCCAGCCATTGCAGGAGTGGGGCAGCAGAAGACATGTATTTCATTAATGCCTTTCCCAGTGGAGGCCAGCAGGATCTAGAGGGATTTGGGTAGGATCACACAGCTGACTGAACAGAGAAGTGATAGCGCCGAGGTGGCCAAAGTCCTGTTGTACATGATCAGTGCCACGCGTTTGCATATCAAACTAACACAATCTGGCACAGTTGCTTTGCATCCCAGGGCCTGCAGATATGTGCTTTTTACTTAGTGGCATAGGTCAGAGGTTGAACTCTGATGGGACATGCAGTGGTGCTTAGGTACTGCAGTATCACTTAGGGGGAAGCAAAAAACTACCAGCAGTGATGTCTGCAAGAGCTAAAGCGGAGACAGCCTCCCCAGGCCACGCAGGGCCAGTGGGAGAAGGGTTTTGCTGGGTGTGTGGGGAGAAGGGTTGCTTTCCTCGCCACCAAGCAGGGTTATTCCAGGGTTTTTGCAATGGTAGATCACAGATCCAGCTGGGATGCACTATGGTGAAGAGTGGTAACTCCTCGCACAGGGCCTCCCTGCTCCTCCAGGCAGGATGGGAGGATTGTGTCTCTCTCCCCACAGCATCCCTCTGTCCCAGGCATTCGGACACTTTTGCCATGTACATGACAGCCAGGATGCCAGAAAGTGAGGGTCCAGGAGGAATCACAGATATTCACCAGTGTTTCCATCTTCTCTTGTGGCTTCTCTGAGGTACTTTAGGGCACCAAGAACATCTCCAAGATGTTCCTCATCTCTGCTTCACTCCCTACAGGCCACAGCCTCCCCTCAACACTGGAGCCACAGCAAATGATGGATAGTCCCTGGCTGCCAGAGAGAGGGGTTATCTGTAGTTTTCTCTGCCCAGCCAAAGGCACCAGCCCAAGATAGGGGGAGTCTGATGGATAAGCAGAGCATGGACTGACTTGTTCAGTGCTGCTAGAGCAGAACCACTTCTCAGAGACTGCTTTGGTGACCGGCTGCCAGAGCTGAGGCTCCTGACCAGAGCTGGATCTCTGTCCCTGATGGAGAGTCAAGCACAGTCATCTCAGCCTTTGGCTGCTGGAGAAAAGTGCCTGGATGTGCTCCTGCCCCATCTCATTCCTCCCAGCAACATGATTCATGCACAATCTTTTTCTTGTCTGGTCTCAGTAGATCTCAAAGTGCTTTGGAGACATTAATTACCTATCCACAAGGGTATTACGAATGGGTACGTTGAGTTACGGGAGAGGAGTGACTCACTCAAGGTCACAGACACACATACAGTCTGCCTTCTCTGCTCCTCAGCAGCCGCTAGCTGGCCTCGCTGCCTCCGCCTCAGCCCATCTCTGAGAACATGCCTTGGGTCATTCTCTGTGCTCAGCCCGTGGTGAGAGCCATGGGCTGAAGATGACCTTCCGTTCCTTTCCTGAGGGACACATACCGGAGAGCCATGGGCTAGCACTGACAAAATATTAAATCTGTCACTGACGGATTCAGGACAGCCAGAAGCTACACAAATAGACCAAGCAGTTTTGCTGAGGCACCTAGGCAAGAGGTGAGCCATTTTGTTCGGCCACATTCACTTGAGCATCAGGTGTTTGTGGGCTGCCCTCTCCAACCTCAGGGAGCAACCAACTGCCTGCACCTATCCATGTAGATGCTGTATCTGGAGGGGGTGGTCAGGGCAGCAGGTTGTTCTTGTACACATGAGGAGCAGCTCTGAATGTCTAGCTACAGGGTGGGATGGAGTTCAACAGCAAAGGTGATCCCACCGCCCATCCCAGGATCTTTCACTTGCTGCTGTCTCACACACCTCTCTTTCCAATGGCCATGTTTCCAAATCGGAGTCAGACATTCAGCCACTTCCCAAGAGATCCTGTGCATCAGCTGAGCTTTGGAGCTGCTCATGTGTCTGTTCTCAGCCAAAAGCAGATGCAACCTTAGACACCAGCAAACACCACGTTAGCAAATGTGCCTCAGCGTTTTTAGAGTGTGCCTGTGATGCCTTGAGCCTAGACAGCAAACCCAGGAGTGAAAGCTGCACTTTGAAGGACTTGTAAGAGACACATTGGCTCAGTAATGTAATTAGTCACGATCTTGAATACAGAATCTTTTACAAATGCACACTAGAGAGCAGGCAAATTGTTTGTGAGTGAATGTCAGCTCATAACATGCTTTGCATGTCAAGGGATAGATAATAGTTTTGACAGATAACCTGGTAATAACTTTGATGTTAGTCTGAATTCTTTGGCGTTTCATCAATGCCCAGAGTTTGCAGGCTGATTTAATAGGCATTAAAATAGCAGTAAAATATTCAGCTTATAGGCTTCTTTGAAAAAAATCCAGGACCCTCTTTTGCAGTGCTACCACATCAGGCTTTAATATACGCTCAACCTAGAAAACTTGTTTCTCATTTTTATTTTCCTTCCCTCTAATTATTTGCTCGTTTGCCTCCCTGGCAGTGTGTGTGTGTGTATGTATTTACACATGTGCCTGTTTTCTCATGTTTTCTAATTTGCAGTCATTTTGCAGACTGCCTTCTAATGTCTTACAAACCATCAGTGGTCCGGCAGACATGGGTTAGGAAACACTATTCCAGAAGACAGTACAGGCAAATGAAATAATCCAGACCAGCCATCCACATCGCTGTATTATCTCTATTATTCCCTGGAGTATGATAATAATGTTAGTGGAATTGCAAAGCTCTATGTGTGGTTGCCAGTTTAGACTTTATAGCAATTACAGTCTCCACTGGGTGATTTGACTATTCCCATTTCTTTAATACAAAAAAAAAAAAAACCAAAAAACGACCACTTCAAAAGTGATAGCTGTGGTAATTTTGTGATAACAGGTATCACACTGACAACCTTTCTAAGGAAATCAAGCAGCATGGTCAAAATACCCAGCAACACTGGCTGTGCTGCCTCAGAGAAGAAAGCTCTCACAAACTGTAGGATTCACTAGAAGATACCTTGGAGATCTTGGATGAGTCTCTCAGCCTGAGTACTTGAATCACCACCTAGTTCATTTTTGTTGACACCATGTCTAATTGGAGGACTCAGTTGCTCTGCCTCTGTTACAAGCCGATACACGTAAGGCATTTAAAAGTGGCAGGAAAGGTAAATGTGACCAGTTAGCTGCAGGTAAAATGCAGGTGGTCAGCTGGTCAGGTTACTCTGCCCGTCACGTTCTCTGCCTGAATCACAAAAAATCTGCTCTTTGAGGTGTTTTAAAGGCTTCGACCCCACGTAGTGATTGACGCCAGGGCAGATAACTAATGCCATTGTTATTAAGAACCTTTGAGTTCCCTTTAGCATCATTGCACTTCCATTACCATCCCCTTGGGCCACCTTGCAGAGCACGTTGATACCTAATGGCAGGACACCACGCGGTGTTTGAACTGCAAGGTGCCTGCATCTAAGTGTTGGTATATGGAATAAAGCTTTTCTTTTGAGACACTGAAAGCTAAAACTCAGGTAGTTGTTGTTGTAAAATGGCAAGGCTAGGAGAGCCTTACATCTTCCTGGAGCATATGCTCCTTTTCTGAAAGCCCTCCAGGCCAGAGAAACCTTGGAAAACCAGGCAGTTTCTCTTTGTGGCTTGAGATGCATCTTGTTAATGTCACTGTCTTGAAACCCTCAGCCTTCGTGCTCAGTCTCAAACCTGGCAAACTGAAGGGAAAGGCCCTTAAAACTCAAACCCGAGTGCCAGGTCGCTTGAACTGCCAGTGCACAGGGGTGCAGTGCCAAGTGCTGCTGAGGCTGCAGCTACGGGTGGGCCAAATTACAGCTGGAGGCAGCGCCCCGGGTGAGTGGAAGGGCGATGGAGAGGCACCAGCCACAGAGGCTGGCTTGGCCAGCTCCTTCCCCAACATGGGAGACTTCTCGGGGTCTGTTAAAGCAGAGCCATGAAAGAGGACCAGGGTGTTGGAAGCCAGGGGAGATGACGATTAGCCTCTGGCCACCAGTCCCTCTTTTGCTTGTGTTTAAAATGTTACGGAGCAATTTAATTCATGACCTCAACTTGCCTGACCCTTGTTCTGCTTTCTCCTTGTGTAGGTAGGGAACCTTGGCCTACTTTTTATGCTCCTGTTTTTTATCTATGCTGCCCTGGGAGTGGAATTGTTTGGCAAGCTAGGTGAGTAATGTGCCTGACACAATTTATTTCATCCGGTTGATGTTTATTTAGTACCTAGCTGTTTCCTTTCTTCTCCCTCATTCCCAGGCCTTCCTTAGCTTCACAGCTCATGGTCTGAAGATTAAAGTTTTCTTTTGATCTCAGGGTCACAGATGACACACGAGGACGTAATACAGAACCTGTCTAATGTGCGCACACACACATTTAGAGATTTGTCCAACACCACCCTTGGCTGTAGAGGAACTATTTACTGTTTAAATAGAATTGTCCAGCATGGATATGTTCACAAAGATGGAAGTTTGCTACTTAAGACAGAACATGAGTCTGCAAAGCTGGATGGTAGTCAGATTCGTGCTGGAGAGATGCCACCATAAACATGTCCCTCCTTGGAGCTTCCACCACACTCCATTAGTTTTCTGCACTTGGCTGACATTGCTCTTCCCGCTGCCCAAGCCTTGTCTGTCCGTTGTTCTTCTCAGAATCATCTTCCCCTTTCTACGTAAATCAGGAAGCATCCACTAGTTCCTGATTGTCCAGCATCATTTGTTCCTTTGGTTTGAGGATACCACATAGCTGACCACGAATGTGTCCACCACTAAAAAGAAAATCAGGTGGAGTCAGAGAGAAAACACTATAGCCCTGCCTTGCCCAGCTCAGCCAGGCCAAGGCAGTCACTGCCTTCAAACATGCTGCTTGAAGGAGACGTGTCTGCCTTCTCAGTGTTTGCATCCCAATTAGGGCTTCAAGAGCACCAGAAGGGCCCTTCCTCCGCGGCGATTTTATGGCTATCATTAATCCCCTTTACGAGTCCAGCCCTCTGCTCGGATTACAAATGCCTGAAAGCAGAATATTTCTTTCAACCAAAGACAAATTATTTTTCAGTCTTCAACAAATTCTGGGGAAAAAATAGTTCTGCATCCACCTCAGATGAAATACTGTGGGGTTTATATTACATATCTAGATATATGGGTGTGTATTTCTTCAGCCACAAAGGTGAAAAATGTCTTATTCACAGAGGCACCTTCTGCTGCTCTGACTCCTTTTTGTGTTTCCACGCACACCCCTTGCCAACACCAGCCCCCAGGTGGCCACAGCACTCGGTCAGAGACTGGGAAAGCCCTGATCTTGTCCAGGGCAAACTGCAGGCAGTCAGCACACCATCTCTCATCCCGATTTAACTGGGAAATACTTTCACTTCTTTTTCCCGATCACTGCTGGTCCATGTCAGCCACAAGAACCATCGCTCACTCTCCTAAGACTGGTCATTTGTGGGTTTTTTTTTCCTTTTTCAGTTTTCCTTCCTGTTTGCCTCTGAAATAAATACCTAATAGTGAAATGCCCTAGCAAGAGACACTGCTGCCTGCCCTGATGAATATTTCATGAGCCTGGTCTTTACGGGAAGAGGGATATTTCATATGTTCAATTTACATTCATTAGTATATTAATTCTCAGGGGAAAAATGTCAAATTGCTCCACTTTATCTCAGTGAAATATCCCTCATGGTAGATGTACTCTGTAAAAAATAATCAAGACAAGGACATGATCAAGAGGATAACAGACAAAGGATAATGTAGAGCAGTGTGTGTTGAGACAGCCCAGCAGGTCTGCTTGTTTTCACCTCCTTTTAGATCTCTTTGTGTTGGCTCTGCCTGTTGGGGTAAAATCACGAGAATCACAGAAATGTTGGTGGAAGAGGCCTCTGGAGGCCCCCACCCAGCCTCCCACCTGAAGTCCCATCATTAGCTCCGAGTAGCTGTGGCTTCATCTAGCCAAATCTGGAAAACTTCCAATAAAAACCTCTCTGGTGACCTGTCTCAGGGCTGTTGGGCCCTCCAGATGAAAACAGCTTATTGATGTCCAACCTGGACTTCCTAATCCCCGACGTGTTGCTGTCCATTATAGCCCCCACTGAGAAGAGTTTTGGCTCCACGATCTCTGCAGCTGCCCTTCAGCAGTTGCAGGCCACCATGAGATCACTGCTTAGCAGTCGTCCCTGCTGCCATGTACCGGTGTGACACATCTCAGGGTCTCACCGCCAGGTTTGGGGGGCTGCTCTGGCAAACGTGGCTTCACTGATGTGCTTCTGCTTCTCTCTCTTGCAGACTGTAGCGAAGAAAATCCTTGTGAAGGTCTGAGCCGGCACGCGACTTTCACCAACTTTGGCATGGCCTTTCTCACCCTCTTCAGGGTGTCAACGGGGGACAACTGGAATGGTATCATGAAGGTGTGTGCGATCTCTGTTTGGGTACTTTCTTCTCTCGGTAGATCTGTATCTATCTGTAGATTTGTAGATACAGATTCAAACAAATTTAGGCAACTCTTACGTGAAAACAAATAAAAATTCCTTTTAAAACATCGAAATGAAACTTTCCCATTTAAAAGCCAAGTGTATTTTCAAGGGATAATTTGTTCTAAGTCTTGCCCAACCTGAAACTTCATTCTTTTTAACACATACGTAATACTTCAGGAAAATTATGCCAGTTCTTGTAGCTGAGAGGAGTAACCATGTACTCTGTGCCCTGTGGCTTTGGGATGTAACACAATCCCTCTCTTTGTAGTTGGTGTAATTTGTGGTGTTTGTATTTTCCCCTATCCATTTTGTTGTACCTACAAGCTATTGTGTCTGGGATGTGTAATTATATGCTTTTCAGTTCTCGGCAGATTATCTTTCATGTTTCTGTATTTGGAGCCCAGGCAGAGCCCCAGCCCTTACTAATTCCTCACCTCTCCTCCTCTGTTGCAGGACACTCTCCGGGAATGCACTCGAGAAGACAAGCACTGCCTCAGTTACCTGCCTGTGATCTCTCCTGTCTACTTCGTCACCTTCGTCCTCATCGCACAGTTCGTCCTAGTCAACGTGGTGGTGGCAGTGCTGATGAAGCACTTGGAGGAGAGCAACAAGGAGGCCAAGGAGGATGCTGAGATGGATGCTGAGATAGAGTTGGAGATGTCCAGAGGAGCAACCAGCTCGGCCACCAGTGGGAGCAGGGGAGGTGCAGTGGCCCCGGAGGGCAGGACACCCTACAGAAGTCAGGAGACCATGAAGTCAGAGTCAGCGGTGCAGGTGAAGCACCAAGCCCTGGTAATAGTTCACACAAATTGTCTGTTCTTCTTGTGCTCAGGGTAGGGAGGGGACGGTTCTCACCAGTCACTGCTGTCTGATCATCAGGCAGTAGATCCCAAGTGACACAGAGCCAAAGAGGCAGGAGACAAGGCCGCGTGGGAGGAAAGCAGCTTTCCCAGGGCTCCCTATGGCAGAGATGTCATCACCACCTCCACATCTTGAGTCATCTCAGGAGGGCTCCCTGAGGTGGAAGGCTGCTTGAAACACACTATCCAGGGCTAGCGCTGTCCTGCCCGTTGTTCTAGGGGAGGGTTGAAAGTCTATCTCTTGCCATTTCCAGTTCATTCAAAGGTAGTGAATTTTAAGTTCAGAAGCATAATAGCCACAGGTCCTTGTCCCATTCTCCCAGCCAATACATTGGTCCTTGTCATTTTTAGCATGGGCAGCAGCACCAGGAAGCAATCTCATAAAGCCCTGGGAATGCTGCCACTATCGACCCTGACACGTACAGCAAAGGGTGGCATAAATTCCTTCCACATAGACACAGAAATACTGCTCAGATTCTTTTTAATCCCACCTTGGGATTTCCAGAGGATCCTCAAGCAAATCGTAGCGTGCAGCTCAGGAGGGCATGTCTGGCGCTGGTGTAAGCATGCAGCTTCCCACCGGCTCGTGCTCTGCTTAGGGCACGGCTGACTCGGGCCCTGGGAATTGTCAGAGCTCCTCAGCAAGAACCTGGAGGTTCCTGGGTTGATTTTCCAGACACTGCCTGCTCTCTGGTTTCTCTTAGTCCTCTAGAAAAATAGGGCAATCGGAAGTCAGGGGGGAAAGGAGGGGCATGAGATAATTGTCTCATCCCATGTCAGCCGCATATCATTAAGAGCGAAGACAAAATTGCTTTGTCACTGTGATCGCAAATAAAGCTACCGCTAAATCAGTGGGGGATTTGAGATTAAATTATATTAAATTAGGTTTTTGTAAAATCCATCAGACTCTATTAAGTCAGGTAAAAAGAAATTTAGTTACACAGCCATGGGGAATTTGATATTTGAATGTAGTTCCTAATAGACATTTCCGCAGGAAAATGCACTGTAAACACTCAGGTCGCTGTTCTCACTGGAGGAAGAGGGGACACATCCTTTCACATAGGCTGTGACTGCAAACTGACTTCATCCTCATCTTCCAGTACCTCCCAATCAGCTCAGGAGCCATGCAGAGCCTCCTTGTAGCTCCAGAAACCTCGCGGTGAGAGGTGATGCTCCTCAGAGGGAGAAGAGCGTGAGCAGGGAGCTGGGCACAGGTTTCCCCCAGCAGACGAGATTGCTCGAATGCAGGTGAAGAGCTGCCAGGCAGGCAGAGGTGCCGCAGTGGGGCTGGTCGTGGTGATGCCCTCACCCACAGCTCAGACCCCCCGGCTGTTCTGGGCAGACGGGGATGGCTGGCAGCTCCATGCTGCATGGAAGAGGTTAAATAGGTAGAGCTCTGTATGAGTGATCCTGCCACTGACGGTGGCACCGGCACCCTGGAAGGTGTTGCAAGATGCTCTGTGTTTTCTTGCCGTTTGTGACAGTTTTTGCAGCCTGCATTGCCTTTTCTCTTCCTTCCTGGGAAGAGGAAGAGTAGGAAATGGCCCGGGGCAAACGTGTTGGAGCGTTCTGACCCAGCCTTGCTCTGCTACTGATGCTTTTTATCTCCCCGATTTGAAGGAGGCGCTGAGCTGTGAGAATGTGTCTTTAGCCATCCCAGACTCAGACACGCTGGAGGGGGCAGAGGCTCCTGTGATGGAAATCCCGTCCTTCTGCTCTGTTTCCCACCATGTCCTGACACCTTCCCACAAAACCCCAGGCCACGAGGCTGAGGTGAATGCCGTCGCGCCGTTGCTTCTGCGTTGTGGCGTTGTGCTTTGGTGCTGTGCAGCTGGCAGTGGTGTCCAAGTTGTCCTAAACCTGTCGCTTCCCGGCCACAACAGTCGTTTCCATCCTCTGTCCTTTGTGCTGCCGTTGCATCTGCAGGGGCTGGGCAAAGAACGTGTGCCACCGGCTGCCAGCAGCCTCGTGTGGGACACGAAGGAAATACTTTCTTTAGCTAAAAAAAAGTCTCGCACTTGATGCGCGATGCGATGTGTGAGCAGTCTGTCTTCAAACGATATATCGAGAGATGGAGGCAGGCAGAGTCCTTTGTGAAGAAAACACAGCCCAGTTTGGTCTTCTTACTGGTACTGCATTTGTGGTACAGTATTGAGGAAACAAAGGCGTAAGTAGATCAATACATCAGGCTTTCAGCAAGCACCGGAGCTGTGGATTCAGAAGACACGCTGAGGTGATCACCCAGCAGACCAGAAGGGCTGTAACCCCCTCTTGGTCCCTCCCGATGGCACCACGAGCCGGTGCCCAGGTGACATCACACACAGACATGGCACGGTTTGCGCTGCTGCAGCACGGAGCCCTCGGCGTGGCTGAGCTCCACGTGCCCTCCGGTGGGCACGAGAACAGGCAAGCCACGGTCAGCGATGCAGGCACACGTGCCGCAGTGGGGAGCACACTCGCTGTCATCAGAGAACTTCAGTGGCCACCCAGAGTTAATCTGCTTTAGACTTGAGCCATTTTGCCCTTTATTACCTGATCTCTATCATGACTATCAAGGCACCTTCTAGTGGCAGGTATCTCACAGTGTCTCCAAGCAAATTCTGGGCTCAAATTAAGCTCTTGATGACCAAGCGGTTTCGCCTGTGCAAGATGAGTGATGTGAAGGTGTAATCCTCAAGGAAGTTCTCCTTCCTAGCTCTGCAGGGTGTCCGTTAGCTTGGCCACCTGGAAGCTGCAGAGGCTCAAAGGGAGATCGCAGGGAGGATCGGGGACAGGCGAAATTTGGAACTTCATAAATGCAACTGCAAGGGGTCCTGGTTTCTGCTGGCAGAGCCGAGAGTTCGTTATCTCTGTGGGGAACGACAGCACAACCCTGGATGCCAGTGGCGTTGGGCTGTGCAGGGATGCCAGCGTTGGCTGGCACGGGCTGGGAGTTGCCTCCTGCCCTTGCTGTCCCTCTGCCTTCCCCGCCGCAGAAGCTGCGGGAAATGGCCGAGCTTGCTGGCAGTGCTGGAGACGCACGCCTTCGGAGAGGGATCAGGAGGAGCCCTTCCTCTGGGAATGTTGCCCGCGGCTTGTTTGCAGGCTCTTGGCTCTAGGCCTCCAAGAAATTACAGTGTTCCCTCTTCCAGAGTATCCTGCCAGTCACCTTTCCTTACAGGATATCTTCTGGTCCTTTAATCACCCACAAGGGTCGTGTCCTGTGGAAGGATTTGCAGGATTATTTCTTCTCGAGCTCCCTCTGCAGCAGAGCAAAATCCGAGCTCCGACAGACTATTGATTGTCAGACAGAAGAGGAAGGAGGTGTGCTCACTGATTACAGATGCTTAACTGAGCCTCTGAGCTGCATCACCATGAGCCTCTACAGTCAGTTTAATGCCTTTCTACTCAGCCTGAGAGGGGTCCCGTGGTGAGAAGGCTCCCACCTTGCACATCTCTATCAGATGCCTGGGACCTTAGGGTGCCTGTGGGCAGGGTTCACCATATTCAGTCTCAGCAGCACCGGTCCAGGTTGGGCTTTCATGGGTTTTGAAGGAGCCACATTGATTTCCAGGGCATGGGATCAGGCTCCCGAGTGCATCAGGCACTTCCCACCAAACAGGAGGATCAGCAGTGCCCACGGTGGTGTGCCTGCAAACCTTCCCAGCTGTTGAGAGCAGCTCAGGGTGTGAGCCAACAAGCCTCCTGTCCATGTTTCATATTTCAGGTACTTATTATAGTGGCTTTGAAGCCATTTGAAATGTGCCCACGTCCCTAAATCAATTGGGTCTCAATAGCCGAAACCTTAAAAATTGCAGTTGCTTATGTCAAGAGGGGATTTCTATTCATTTTTCCCAGCCAGAGAAAACAAATACAAGATCCTGTAAAGACGAACTGAGATTTAATAGACAAATAACCGTGATCCTTCTGTTAGACGACGAGAAAGCGGAGCAAGACCTTTTGTTCTCCGTGTGGCACCGAGGTGTTAACAATCCCCTGCCTGCCTTCAGCTCAGGTGTTGCCATGCTGATGGCTTATTAGCTGTAATGGCCAGAGGCCAACTGGCACAGCCACGCTGCTGCTGCATTAATATATCGGAGGAGAGACCCGCGTGGCACCCGGAGGGCTGCTGGGCAAGGCAGCAGTCAGCGCTGGAGGCCAACTGCCTGTAGATAACTGCTGCTGATCCCCCCCATCTTCTCAGCCAAGCTCAACAGGGCAAAAGCATCGAGTCATTTGTCTCCTCGGGATGTGTCTCTTTAGGGATCTGAGGAAATAAATTCGTAAGCCAGAAATGTATGGAAAAAACAGATATAACCAGATCCTTGGTGACCTCCAAACTATCCAGCGAGGGATCTCAGGCCCAGGTTTTGCTAGCAGAGAGGGAAAACAGCCCGGCAGAGCGAAACAAAATACATTTAATTTAAGACGTGCAGCTGGGAAAATGTTTTCCATCAGTCACCGGGAGGCTGATGTTAAAGGAAAACCAGAGCGATTAGTCGTACTTTAGATAACACGGTAAATTGTGAAGGGAATGTGTCCAGAACCAAAACCTCGGGGCTGGGAGCCAGGTTGCAGGTCTTGTTCCAAGGGCTCCCACTCCCCTAGTGCTTGACCAAGTCATGGCACCACCTCTCACAGCTGCTCCATCAGCACCACAAGGACATCATTTGAGTCCCTAAAGCTTCCTAAGATCCCAGGATAAATTCGCTATAAGGTGCCGGAAGTGATGAGGGCCTCAGAGAAGCAATGCAGGGTCAAGTTTAAGGTTTGTGACATGTTCTGTCCTGGCACTTCCAGCCAGACCCATTTCACAGTGATAGCAAACACAGAGAAGTCCCTTTTTTACCCCTGAAGAGGCTCCACACCCCCATACGTGCTGCCATGATGTCTTCTCCTTCCCTCTGCCTCCTGCCATGTGGCTGTCTTCTTCTGGGGTGCCCGAGATGCTCCGTTGTGTAGGACAGAGGCTGCAGGGTTTGCAGTGGTGTTAATGTGTATGTTTACATGTTTGCCTGTGTGTGTGTGTTGGGGAGATAATACAGGAATTTCCAGAAGCACTTGGTACCCTTGGTCAGCGTGGCCGAGGACTGGCCAATTTTGCCCATCTGTCGCAGAGTAGCTTTGAGGAGAAGGGCATCACCACCCAGGTTGGACTGAAAGCATCCCTGGGAGAATCCGAGCAGAACAGTGAGAAACACTGGCTTTCTCGTGTCTTTAAGGGGTGGGCCCCGTTTTCCTGGACTTTACTTTTTCTCTGCAGTGTCCAAGAGTTGGCTTAGTGATGGGTCATTGGTGCCTCATTTTACTCCAGCCGCAACTTGAGCTCTTTGCTCAGCTGGCACGGCGTAGCTTTGGTATCCCGTTGCAGTCACCAGGGCTGCAGACTCTCTGTAAGATGCCAAGAGGAACATCTGCACAGGGTTTTAAACCAGAAAGCAGACGAGAAGGAGATGGCTGTAAATTCACCGAGATGCTGAATGACCCCCTCTCCCTGTCTCCTTGCTTTGCAGAGCGGCGCAGCCTCTCTGAGGCCACAGGACTCTCACAACCTGCTGACAGTCCGCAAGATCTCCGTTTCCCGAATGCACTCCTTGCCCAACGACAGCTACATGTTCCGGCCGGTGATGCCAGCGAAAGCCCCTTTCCCCCTCCACGAGGTGGAGATGGAGGCATATCCCTGCAAATCCCAAAGAGGTACTGCTCGTGGAGTTTTCCCTTCCTCCTCCTGACCAAAACCGTGGGGCAGCAGGTCCGTGTGGTTAGATGGGGAGTCAGCAACCCGTGCAGGGCGCGGGCTGAGGCAGGACTCGCTGGCTCGGAGTCGACACCATCGGCACGACTGCCGTTTCCCACAATTTTGTGTTTTCATCACGTCACTGCATTTTCTCAGGAGAAAGCTGGTGGCTCAGATGTTTGACTGGGGAGAAGTGGGGCTCCCAAGCGATGTCGGAGGCGTAGAGGAGAGGCTGTTAGCTGGGAAATGTGTACGAGCTGCACGTTTCTCCTGAAGTGATCAGCCCTGACATCATGACTGTGGATCAATAAAATCAACATGAATAAAAGCTGGAGTCGGTATGACTTCCTGACAGAGCTCCTTTACAGCTGTTGTTTCAGGCAGTCTTCAGTCTCAGAGCAGTATCTTTTTAGCACAGTACATTGAGCTCGGAGATGTAGGAGTTTCTCTGGGAGCATAAAGATTAGAAACCACTCTCCAGTGCCTCCTTAGCCTGGCCTTATAATGAATCTTGTGGAGAGACCCCACAGTCAGGGAATCGTGAGCTGCACAGAGCCTTTGAGTATACATTTACCCAACTGCATCCAGACACATTTCCCCTAAAATGCCTCTCCATCTCTTTTGTTGTGTGAGTTGGTTTGAAGGGGAAATCAATAAGAAAGAAAATATCAGCCTCCCTAAAAGCACATGTGCTTCTTGAGTGGCTTCCAAGAACTTACCATCCTGATTTCCTTTGATGCAACGTTGTTTGAAATACAAGAACTGCTTGGACAGATGAGTAGTGGGTTTGCAAACCCTGGTGGGGCTGGCAAGATCTGCTCTGACTTCCTTGGGTAAAGTAACTCTGTATTTGTTCAAACTCTCTGGATACCAGTTAATGTTCTCTACTTTATATTTATTATTATTTCACCTGCAAATTCTTTGCTAAGCAAAGAAAACAGAGGTTGAGTTTCATGGCTGGACTACTGGGGATGGTTTTCATCTCCGTAGTGAGTGTAAATCAGGATTTATACCAGTATAAAACTGCTGCCATGTTGGCAGAGGTGGGTAGAACTGACCAAGAATTTTCTCATGTTTCCCAAATTTCTCTCCAAGAGCTCTTGAGCAATGGATGTGACAGGGGCTTACTTTTTTACCTGGTCTGGTAGAAGCATCCAACCAGCATCCCCCAGAGCTGTGCTGCTTCTGAGCTCTGATTTAAGCCACATGCAAGTGACATGCAAGTAAAACTGAGCACATAGAGACTCACATCAGCTTTTGTGCTTCCATGGCCGCCTCAATGTCAGTTAAGGATGTCTGGTCTTCTCCCAATACTTCGGTGACTACACAGTGGAAATATTGTGAGATGACCAGATCTTGTGTTATTTTGGTCTTAGATGCAGTTTCTTGATTTATTAGAAAAACAAGAGAAAACTTATACAAATCCAGAGATATTCAGTGTTCCTGAGTATGCAGTTTAAAGGGGTTTTTGGTTTCCTATACGAGAGATAGATGGAAAGTTTCCAACACAAGGAAATTCCAACTAAGGACAGGGAGGAGAGCATAGGGTTTTGATTTTATGACCATGTTTGTGGCAGGTTTTATGACAAAGTCTTTCTGCATCATAAAAAACATTTTGTAAAGCCTGGATTAGCACATGAATGGCACAGACTCGGTCTGGAACTCTGGCTGTAGGAGCGCCCAAAAAAGAAGTAGGGAGAAGCAGGGGGGGAAGCTCACCGCTCTGCTTTCTGTGGTGTTCTGGAGAAAAGCTCCACAAGAAAAATGATTAAACACTAACTTTTCTTTCTTCCCAACAACAAATCTCTTTCTGAAATGCAACTGCAATCTCTCTGGATGGCTTTTGTCATAGGTTCAAGTTCCCTGACCTCTGGGCGAGATCTCTTGAAGTGATGGATGGCTGTGTTTTTAACAGGGAGCAGCAATGGAGAAACAGACGTTGGGTTTCAAGCTAATGAGGACAATAAATCCTGCAGCCAAAAAAAATAGAAAAGCAAAAGATCTTCCAAACAACGCAGAACTGCAGTAAAGCAGCACCACGAAGGGGCTGGGGAGGAGGGAATGCCTTTAGACTCTGCCAGGGGTCTGGGAGCCTTCAGGAAGGGAGTGATTCCTGCCTGATGCATGAGTGCAGGGACTGTCAAAGCACTTGGAGCGATCTCCATGCTGCTGATTCAACCACGATCAGCCGAGGTCTGCCTCGTGGACAGGCGGCGGTGGCAGTGTTTGGGCTGTAGTGGATGGGAAAACTGCCCTGTGTGTGCCAGTGGTGTCTCCTCCTGGAGAAGTCGGTGTCAGGGTGCCCGCTGGTGGTACAAGGCTGGAGGTTGGAGCTGTAAGCCAAGCTCTGGAGGCTCCGAGGGAGCTGAGCAGGGCTGCTCTTGCCTCCACGTGGCACAGCAGCCTTAAGGCTGCGAGCCCGTCCCTGGCAGCGCTGCAGAGACAACCCAGGCATCCTGACTCACGGGATCCGGCACGGCCACCAGACTTCCCCCATCCATGTTCTCCAAACAGGCAGCATCCTTTTATGAATCCACCCAAACCACTGCTACCAGGAACGCGGCAATGGTGGGGTTTCAACTGCAGCCCCACCTCCTGCCCTTCGTTTGCTGCCCTGTGGATGTGGTGGCCGCCCTCCACCCCAAGTGTCACAGCAGCTCCAAGAGAAGATTCCTGTTACTTGAAACAGAAAATAGAGGCTATGAGCATAAAGTTTGTAACAGGCGATATCCCAAAGCTGGCAGAGCCACTTGCAATGCTGCTGGATTGCAGAGACTCCATCTGTAACCTCTCAGCCAACCGTGGTGAGACATGGCCTACTATTCAAAGCAGGAGACAGGACAAGGGACACTTGGGTTTTAATCCTGGCACTGCCCAAGGCTTATGCTGAGGCTTGGGATTTCAGCCAGACTAGACAGACTTTTCCTTTCTCCTCCTGCGTTTACTCTCCTCCTGGCGTCCACAGGCACCAATTCTGCCTCAGACCTTCACAGCTCCTGCACCCGTGGTGGTGCTGACTGTTCTCTCCCTGTTTCCTAGGGTCCATCACCTCCATCCGCTCCCAGCCCGTGGGAACGTGTTCCTCTCTGAGAGTCCCAACGGAGTCCCTCCAGCTGGCAGTCCGTTCTCCCAACCATGAAAGCCGCCACCGCTGGAAGATCCTTCCCTCCCACATCGCACCTCGATCTCCTACTCTCAACAAGCTGCTGTGCAGACAGGTGAGAGGCCAACAGCCTCCAGAGGTAAACTCCTTCATAGTCACCCGAATCCTTCCCTTATTTTCAGCCCCTCTTGGGTTTCTTTTCTTGGAGCCGAGAGTAGAGTTCCCCTTCTGAGAACAAAACGTTTCTGATGTCATAAATTTTAATATACTCCAGTCTCAGCAAGTGACACACAGGAGAAAGCCCTTTTTACCTGCTTCCATCTTCATGGATGTACTGTTCTATGAAAGAATAGCTAAAGCGTAGAGAGAAGATGCCCAATTCTGTTTTAGCAGTGCTGTGAGAAGCCTGCAGTCAGCCCTACACCACGTCACTTCAGACAGGTTGCACTGACTCAGGATTTGGTGCTAGAGCAAAACCAGGACCATGTGGAAAGACCCAGCAGATACAAGCCCTGTACACGTAGGCTCTGGGTCTGCTTGCTAGCAAAACTGCAACCTCTTGTAGAGGGATGGTTTGATGGGGGCTGGCATGATGGGGCAGGGATGGGGTGGTACAGGGTGCGTTAGACCCACCAACCCTTCTGCCATGTGCCATGTTTCATCACTGGAAGTGCCTCTGGGCTGGCAGATCCTCAGACTCTTGCCCCATCTGTCTCTTCTCACCTTCCAGGAGGCCATTCGAACGGACTCTGTGGACGGGCACACTCCGGACTCCAAGGACAGCCTGCAAGCAGAGCCTGGAGAGACACTCCCGTCAGCAAAGCAGCCCCAGAGCACCTTCACCCCCAGCCCACTCCATCCCACGGCTGCCTCCCTCCCAGGCACCCCCCCACGCTCCCCGCCGTCCTCCCCGCATCGGCACCGCAGCCCACTCGCGCGGAAGCACCCGCCCCGCCGCCAGCCCTCCCAGCACCGAGGGCTGCCTGTTGGAGTCCTCCGACCTGGCTGATGAGGAGGTTCGTCACATCAACAGCTCAGCCAAAGACTGGGGAGGAGAGCACTCGGACGCTGGGAGCCGCTCG